GTAATTTTTTTAAATATTTTTTTTCTGTTTGTTGAGTGTTTGTGATCTTTTAGCACTAATAATATAGTTTTTATGTTAGTTTAATTAGTCTGTATGTTTGCATTTTTTACATCCTGTGAGGCATTTTTTTCCATAGGTTGCACATATAATAATAGGTGGGTTCATATACAAAACCGAGAGTTGTTTGACTTTGATTGGTATTTTTTGTATTGTTGTTGTGTGAACAAAGCTTTGGCACTGTGTTTGTTTTCATAAATGCGCGTTTCGCTGCAAAATCGGTTTTGTGGTTCCGTGAATACAATACACAAATACACATACAGCTACATACAGTAGGTATACACTTCAAATAATATTGGATTTACTAGACATTTTGATTAATTTTGTTTGTTGTGGGACTGTTTCGATGTGATATTCTTTACTACCTAGGTAAGTGGTGGCATGTACCATGTGCAATGTGCATACGTATGTTCCTCAGGTCTAAGACGTTTTTGTTTTAATTTTTACTACGTTCGTTGTTATTTGATAGCCGATATTCGATAGGTATTACTGTATTAGGTAACCCATAATATTTGTCTTATCAATTAAATTATAAATGTATCTTATTCTTCAGCATATTATGGTATTATATTTAATATTCATATATTATTATATATTATATTATATTAAGTGTATATGTTAAGGGCTATGTGAAATACCGGGCAAAGTGTACATTGCTCGGTCAATGTGTTCCTGCCCCGGCAATGTGAACCATAATTTTTTTTATTAACCAACTAATATTAAAATTAATTTTCATTATAAATTATAATGTTATTATAACCTACTTATAATGTACCTATTATAGTATTTTTTTTTTTTTAAACAATGTTTATTAATTTTATTCATATATCATAATAATATTAGGAATATTTTGATGGAATAACAAAAAAAATAAACAAATTTAACTGATTTTATCAAAAAAACTAATACTTCCATCATTCCGATGTGGGCATGTGGCCATATGCCCATATCCATATGGGAAAACTATGATTCTTAAAAATAGGTATAGTACGATAGGTAACAAAAATAAGTTTATACACCGTGTTTCATATAGTTTATTGTAAAATTGCATTGCATTTAATTTATTATGAAAATTACATTATGAATTATGATTAATGATAATATTAGTTAATTTTTTTTTTCATTCCATCAATATTATATAGCAATTATTATTATTATTATTATTATTATTGTTTTAAAATATTCGTAATACGATACTAAAATTATTATTATTTATTTTTTTTTTTTTTTATTGAGTCTTAAGCCCGGCATCTATTGTCATTAGCTGTTAGTAGGGTTGTATTGTGGTTTTGGTAGGGTTTTGAAGTGGTGGGTTTTTATACGTGAGTGTTTGTGTTTGGCAGAATTTTTGATAGGACACCCGTAGGTATCTGCCATGCCCGTGACCAAGGAATCGAACCGGCGCTTAAGACCGCTCGGCCACTCCATCCCCCGATACTAAAATTAATAATCATTGTTTTTTAAAAAATATTATTAATAGGAAAACATTTTAAAATTATTTTAAAAAAAGGTGCTCTGCTCTACAGTAGGTTACAAGTGCAGGGTCACTGTATAATGGATGGTATTAATTTGAATTCAATGATATAATATCATTGTATAAGAAAAACAATTCTGAGCGGAGATGGCATGTCAGACTAGGTTTTAGACATATTATATACATATCTTTGATATTAAAAAAAAAAATTTACCTATAATAAATTCCAAATTAATCATATCACAATATCCATTAGGTACTTATAAAGCGTTATACATCAATAACAAACCCTGATACTATCATAGTCTATACTCCATAGATATATAATAGTGTACTTTAGAAGTTTCACGTCCCCACGAATAATATTATACAATGACAACAAAATAACTAAAATCGTTATTCTAGGTTTTTTATTATGTAATTTCGTCCAAATTTGAACTTAAAATTACTATAAAAAAAAACTGTGATCGTGTATTTTTTAGACTTTTTGGTAATTAAATACTTAATTGAAATCTTGTTTTAAATTTTCAATCCTTATAGATATAAAAATTGAACATTTTATAAATTTTTAACTAAAAAAATAATTATTCAATTTTAAATTTGATACATTTTGTCAAAATTCGATCTTTAAATAATAAATACTTATAAAAAAAATTGTGCCTATGTGTTTCTAATATTTTTCAACTGATATTGTAACAATATATCAGAAGCTTTGTATTAAATGTTTACACTTTTTGTCCCAACAGATATAACTTAATTGATATTTATAGAAAAAAAATTAAAAAAATTGAAAACTGTAAATGTCCGTTAACAGCTCGAAAAGAGTCAAAATATTTTCATTTGTTTTAGAGTTACACCAAAAACCAAAATCGATTTTTTCGAAAACAGATTTTGGGTAAAAATTCCCGTTTTTCCTTAATTTTTCTTTTGTTTTTCACGGTGCTTTTGAAAACTACTAGGAAATTTTTACTTTTGACTCCCCAAAGTACCAACTAGATTCACTTTCCTATCAGAAAAGATACTGTTGAAGAAAATCCAAGCACTTTTACTGTCCTAAAAGGTGATGAAGGACACAAAAAAAAAACACACATCATATTGTAAAATCAATACATTCATCGTTCCACTCAGAATCTAAAACAATACTTTAAATTATTATAAATAGCCAATAGGTAATGATAAAATTATAATTTATAATGAAAATAAAAAATAATATTAATATTAACTAATTAGTTGGTTAATAAAATAAATCGTGGTTCACATTGCCCGGGCAGGAACACATTGACCTGGCAATGTACACTTTACCCGGTATTCCACATTGTCCTTAACATATACACCGAATATGACCAGGCAAACGACACTACGACAGTTGGATTTTATCCAATAAATTCGATTCAGCCACAACAATCAAACAGCCATTAGGCACAAATATTATAGGTGAGGTAACGTACATCGGTCACCGTTCAAACCGTATAGAACAATGAATTTTGTTTGTAGATCAAAATCTATTCAAAATTATTGTACACGGATAAATTATGAGATCATCAAAGATTTTTAGTAACATCCGAGGATAAATTGGTATAATTTGAAATGCCTAATTAAATTTTTTTCTTTTTACAAAAAAAAAAAATGTTTAATAATCTTTAGTTATTACATTATTCAGAAGAAAAAAAAAGTTTAAAAAAAACCATACAAATGTGATGTAAATAATTAATAAGGCTATTATGGAACAATAGTGAGTTGCAGTACTTTAGAATTAATAATTTTAATAAAACAATTATACCTAATGTAATGTTGTATTACGAAAAAAATTAATACATTAGTGTTTATGCAAACTTCATTAAAATGGTTTGTAAAACATTATTCACAAAAAACTAATTATTCACCTTACGATTTTGATTTATGTACATAGTACTTACATGGCTATATACAAAATTATGATATGAATAAATTGATAGTAAATTGATGATATAAATTCTGGTATAGTATACCAATATGAACTTTCGAATTCTAAATCTTACATAATTTTATCTTAAGAGGACGTGATACCCGAATGTGTTGTCTCCGTCTTACAAGTGCATAATATAGCAAATTTTACGCTCAGCAAAACAAATGTAGCTCCGTTAATTTAAAACAAGAGTAAATTGACCTCTTATAAAATCTAAAGGTAAGATTATTATCTAGACAACCTCATGGGATTTTTATTATATTTTAATTTTTAAGCGAAATTTAAAATTTTAAAATTAGAATATTATAAAAAGCCCATGAGGTTGTCTAGATAATAATCTTACCTTTAGATTTGATAAGAGGTCAATTCACTCTAATTTTTAAACAAACGGAGCTACACGTGTTCTGCCAGAATTTGCTACGTTACGCACTTGTAAGACGGAGACAACACATGCGGGTATCACATCCTCTTAAGTCGATGTCAGAGCACCAGTGGCGTACGCAGAATTCGTTAATGGGGTGGGTTACCATATTTTATATACAATGATCCTAGTCTAAATATAATATTCCATAAAAAAAATCATTATTCGTATTTTACTTGGGGGGGGGGGGGGTTAAACCCCTAAAAACCCCCCGTCGGTACGCCACTGCAGAGCACTATTTGTTTTCTCTCTCTGGCCCAAGCGCAACATAGACAAATCGCATTTAAGCCGAATCATTTTTTTCTATGTTTTTAAGTAATCTTAGAGTAAAATCACCCATTACAAAAAAGATAGAGAATAATATTTTTGAGGGAATGACATATCGATTTGTCTAAATATTATCTCAAAACATAATTTAAATTTACATTTTTTTGTTTATTTTGAAAGTCGAATACAATGTCAAATAACAATAAAATATAAGATAAATATGAATTCCCTCAAAAATATTAGTCTTCATCTTTTTTATAATAGGTGATTTTACTCTAAGATTACATAAAAACAAAATGATTCTGCGTTGATGCGTTTTATCTATGTTGCGCGTGGACCAGAGAGAGAAAACAAATAGTGCGCCGAGGTCCTCTTAACTAAAACTTGGGTTTAGTAGTGGTCTATAATTAAATAAAAGTTGAAATCAAAAATCTATGGGTAGTCAAATTTCGAAATAATTAACAGAAGGCAAGCTATATATTATACAGTAGCTATTGGTTCCCCCCCTATAGATGATATTATTATATTGTTCTATAATCTTTGTCGATGGATAATAATATTATTATTGTAGTGAAATAATTCTATTTTTGAAGTTTCAGGTGTAAACGTTTTTAAGACTGCAAAAAAATAAATGATAACATGGCCGCACTGCGCCACACTCGTGAGTGTTGATAACTGTTTTCGCGGCTCTGATGATAAACGGACAATGTGTAGTTATTATTATTAATTTTCAAAATAAATAGAATTCGAAAATTAAAACAACACGGACGACAGACGAGGTTCGCTCTTACGGTCTTTCGTCGCAGCCACCTGCCACAAATCTCAGAGGGTCCTAGATGACGAAGCCTAGGCGTTCGGTCGGACCGGCCGTCAAGTACCGCACTTGCGACGCCTGCCATTCGACGTTGTACTTCACGGACTTGGAAACCCATTTTACCGGCCACTGTCCGCCGACCTTGTCGAATTGGACCCAGGCGTTCGTCAACGACCTTTGTCTTTACTCGTACGCCAAGCTGTACACGAAAGGTACGAGAATTTTATTTTGTCTTACGCTTATAACTAAAACATTGGTATTTTTTTCATATTTTGAATTTCGACACCTACAGATGACGAGTACATGGTGGGCAACGACAACGTGGTCGTGCCTGTTGCTGCGATTCAGTTGTGCGGCTTTGTGCTCGGCGAACCGGTCATTGTGAGGTGCGGCAACAAGACTTTCGTCAAGCACATCTGGCCTTCGGACGACTTGCCGCTGTCGAATGTATATTTCTCCAAAGAAGGTAGTACGATTATAACAAAATTTGATGGTTAAATTATTTGGCCGTTGTTTTACCACTTGCATATAATTACATTTTTTACTATAGTATTGACTGACGAACTAGATCAGTTGAACCACGTTTCTGTTGAGCGATTTAAAATTCCACCGAGTGAAGCTCGAAACATTGAAATACGTTTGTCGAACAACGATCAATTACCAGATGGAGAATTCATTCGCCATCTGTTGATTCACCTTTCTAATAAATATGAAGGACGTATCATCAAACCTTCAGATTTTTTATGTTTTGACTTTTATGGACGTAGCCTCGTCTTGGAAGTATCAAGAATTTGTACTTTTCCAAATGCTGGACTGAATGAACAAATGCAAACTATGAATATAAACGATGAACAATTTTATCATATTTCATGTTCTACTACATGGAATATTAAAGATCATGTTGACAAAGTTAATATAACTTACCCAATATCAGATGTTGGTGGATTGTGTGATATCTATGAAAAAGTAATGAATGTAATACAAAAGTCAAAATTTCAAGGTGAGGTAATAAGTAGAGTATAGATTTTTATGCAATTGCATATTTTTCCTTTTCACATTTTTGGGCTTTTTGTCCGTAATCTTTATGAATTCTAATAGTTTGAAGATAATGGCAATTTTTGCATTATATATTACTGCATATTTAATAGTTATCGCATATTTCTACACATTTTGCTAAAATTCAAAATGTATGCATATTTTGACAAAAATCAAAAATTTATTGCATATTGAAGTTAAAATTAAAAAAATTGTATTAAATAATATTTTGTCAAGCATAAAGTGTATAATTATACTAATATGCATTTTGTAGGTATTAAGTGATTATTCATTTTAACAATATTGAATTATACATTTTTTACCATAGGTATTACAGAATTTAAAGTTTTTTCTTGCATATTTGTTGTATATTTCACGATTTTAACTGCGTATTATATGACATTTTTTTCTGCATAAAATTCCACGCTTTACTAATAAATAATAATATAGTCATATAATATCTAACATCAAACTACAAAATATTTTTTGATATTTAGGTGTTTGTGGATTTCTTTTACATGGTATTTCTGGAACTGGAAAAACATTATTAGCGAATACAATAACTTATTCATTAAAAAGACACGTGGTTGAAATAAAAGGTTGGGAAATTCTGAGCAAGATTTATGGACAGTCTGAAGCAAAATTGAAATTATTTTTTGAAGAAGCAATCATTAATTCTCCTAGCATCATTCTAATTGATAGGCTAGAAACATTAAGCAAATCAAATGAATCTTCAGACCTTGAAAGAAGGATTATTAACACACTTCAAACTATGTTTGATTTATTAAAATCAACCAAACATAATGGAGTAGCTATCATTGGCACTACTAGCAATTTGAGCTCTGTTGATGGCAATTTACGAAGACCAGGAAGGTATTATTGATTTAATTATTAGTTATGGTTTCAAAGTTTTTATTATCATGATTGACATTATTCAAAAAGTCATTTTTGATTTAAAATTTAGGTTTGATTACGAGATTGAATTACCAGTGCCAAATGAATTACAACGTAAAGATATTTTGACGAAACAGTTATCACATATTGAACAGGAAATAAGTGAAGATGAAATAATTTCCATTGCACATCGAGCTCAAGGATTTGTGGGAGCAGATTTGTTAGCCGTTGTTAACCGAGCACAAACTGAAGCATCAATTAATAATGAAAACGTCACTTATAGGCATATGTGTTCTGCTTTAACTCAAGTGAAACCATCAGCTATTAAAGAAGTTATGGTTCAAGTGCCTAATGTAAGTTCCTAACTTAAATCTTTATCATTATTACTATACAAAGATATTGAACTATTTAATTTTTCTTATAGGTTAAATGGACAGATATAGGTGGCCAAGATGACATAAAATTAAAACTTAAACAGGTCGTTGAATGGCCACTTAAACATCCAGAAGCTTTTAAACGCATGGGTATCACTCCACCGAGGGGTGTCCTACTATACGGGCCTCCAGGTTGTTCTAAAACAATGATTGCTAAAGCTGTAGCAACGGAGAGTCACTTCAATTTTATATCTGTCAAAGGACCCGAACTCTTCAATAAATATGTTGGAGAATCTGAACGTGCTGTCAGGGAAACATTTATGCGTGCTAGGAGTGTAGCTCCTTGCGTTGTATTTTTTGACGAGTTGGATGGCTTAGCTGGTGAAAGAGGTATGGGAGATAGTGGTTCCAGTGGGGTTCACTCTAGAGTCTTAGCCCAATTATTGACAGAGTTGGATGGTGTTCAACCATTAGGAAATGTCACTATTTTAGCTGCAACCAATAGGCCTGATCTAATTGATTCTGTAATTATTATAATAATTTTCAAACTTAATTTTTAATTTTATCATTCATTTTCATTTTTTTTTTCAGGCTCTCTTGAGACCAGGAAGATTAGATCGTAAAGTTTATGTTCCATTACCAGATAAGACTACCCGTTTCGAGATATTAAGACTAAAACTTTCAAAAATGCCAACATCACTTGATGTAGACATCAATAAATTAGTTGAACTTACTGAAAATTATTCTGGTGCAGAAGTAAGAACAAATATTATGTTTATATCTTAAAAAACCTAAAGTTGTATATGTACTAAATATTAAACTTATTATTGAAAGGTGATTGCAATCTGCCATGAAGCTTCATTGAAAGCTTTGGAAGACAATATAAAGGCAGAAAAAGTAGAGATGAATCACTTTGAAGTTGCACTTCAATCGTTACGGCCTCAAACACCGTTATGGTTACTAAAAATATATGAAAAGTTTTCCGGAATCCAAAAGTAACAAAACAATTTTTATTTGCTATAAATTATTTTATGATGTTTAAATATATTATAAATGTAATAATTTGTGAGACATTGTGACATAAGGAAGAGGCATACATGGGTAGGGAATCTAGACTACACTGATGGAATGTCCTTCAATATGGCAGTCAACAACATTTTTTCAGTCAAATTTATCTCTTAATTTTGCCTTGAATAGTACAGGCAGTAATGACAGGGCAGCAAAAGTTGCCAAGAGTAGTACGGAAGACCATGACCAGGTTGATTCTGATGCGACCTGATGTAAAGTTTGTCCAGCTTGTACAACCAATACAGATGGTACTGCTACTCCTGGAATTAAAAAGACAGAATTCGTGAAAAAGTAGTCATTATAATATATTTTATTAATGATCATGAAGTTAGGTTATTTATGTAGTACCTCATATATTTATCAGTTGAGTTAGGTCATTCAATATATATTTTTTCACGAGATCTAAAAACTACCCTAAGTGCTCTTAATCTTTTGTTTTAGCTTTCTTACATCTCAATATAAAATAATAAATATTATTTTTTTTTAATCTAAATTTTAAAGTTTACATTAGATGTTGATAATTGAAATATTATTAGTGTTAATATAAAATGCAAACAGAGTGGTTATCTAAAATAATCATTAAAAATGTAGTTATGGCAATAAGCACCACAAATTTTATAAGCATAGCTTTGGTGTAAATCATCATTCATTATTGACTTGCCATAAGAAATAAACAAAAATAACTAATTTCTTAAAAAATTAAAAATTTTGTCAACTCAATATTTAGTATTTCATAAAAAATACTCAGATAATTAAATTAAGAATATAGGTTATCATTTAAAATTTTAAAACTAATGAATTAACCTCAAAAAAAAAATAATACAATATGAAAATAGTACAATATAATCTGTGATAAAATCTTAGAATTTCTTATGCATCTTAAATTATTAAAAGTATTATTCTTTGTACTTTGTACCTATTTTTTAAAATATAATTTATAAATTTTATTTTTTTAAATATTTACCAAAAAATGTTCCCAACCAAAATGGTATTAACGGAACATCGACTAGTGGTGCACATACATTTATGAACCAATTGGGCAAAAATGGGGTTATTCGCAAGAACATCATGTAACAGAACATATTGTCGTTGTGTTTCTTAACCTGAAAAAAAAAGGTATACAGTATTAACTGATTGACAATTATATAAATGCTTTCTTGTATTCAATATTCACCAACCAAATTGGCATATGATTTTATTCTGTCTGGGAAGTATCTGTATGCTAATCTTCTTCCGATTGTCATTGACAATAGATAACAAAAACAAGCGCCCATTGCCGAACAAAAACATATAATTGCTAATGCTAATAAAAATGGGTATAAAAATCCACATAATATTGATAATGAAATTGATCCAGGTATGGCAAACGTCTGCAAACTAATATTTTATTAATAGTTAAGGCAAATTAATGAAAATTAAAAGACAATTTGTTCAATAATTGAATTTCAATGTGTTCAAAGGATACAATATGTAACAGAAGAAAATTGACATAAACACTTGAGTGTAATTTGTATCCTTGTAATCTTCCAAGACTCTACCCAAGTTTTGCATATCTGTGGTATTACGTGGAATTTTTATGTATTTTTTTTCCTCCCTGTAAACCATAATCAATGTCATTAACACTATGTTGTTTAGTATGTTTAGGAATCAAATTTTTTTTACTACATACTCGGTCATCTGGGGGAAACTGTAATATAAATAGCCTAAGATTAGTATAAACAATGAAAATATGACCACTAATATGACCAATGCTTTTGTAGTAGACATTGTTTGTTCATTTTCCGTCTTAAGCTCCGTTATTGTTGTTGTGTCGTCTACTGTCGACACTGAAATTAAATCATAAAAACTTTTGTAATTTAATATCCATATTACAATGCATTTGTTTGTGTTTCAGATGAATAAGACTGTCACTTGGCAAATCCCAAAAAATAAACAAAGAAAATCTTGCAGTGTGCAAGAGTGATCGATTTTTGTTGTTTCGATATGTGTTGTTAATTATTTATTAATTTTGTAATATACCAAAGTTTACCAGATTCATTTTGCACGCTGTGATCCACGTCCATGTCTTGTGTTGTTGTCTCTTCTGACCTTATAAACGAAATTGGATAGTACTTTCCGTGAACTTCGTCGGCGACAAAAAAATACGAATTATTCAAAACCAATGACTATTTAATGATGCCATACGACACTTCATTGTTTCGTAATTCGTCTGTTGACTGTCGTCGCACGTACAGCATAATATTATTCTTGTTGATAATAATTGAATGTTTTGTATACGAACAATCGAGCTCTTAACAATATTGTGCTTAGTGCTTACGTCAATTCCAGATTTGTGACGAACAGCGGAAGAGGAAATTTTTTAGCTCTTCGATACTCAACTTTCTCGTTATCACCTATCGGCCTATAAAAATTGTAATGAGAAACAGATAACAGAAGTCAGAAATATGGATGCTCATAACTTGCCGATTTCACCATAGATAATCAAGATATGGATAAGCCACGCATAATAATATGTTAAATATATTTGAGGCCGCGTTCCCGAAGGTCTCCTTTATCCATAGCCGTGATTGATAGTCGATACTCGGCTTAGATCATAGATATAAAATACTATTATATTGTATTTCGTCGCCTAAGAACCATCATGGCCAATCTCAAAAAATTCAAATATATGTTTTATATATCTATAGATTCGTATTTTCGAGACGCATAAGACCAAGTGATTAGTTTCGATGTTTGTCCAATAGGTTTGCTATAAATCGTCTGTCAAAAGGTCTACCAACATTCAAAATTCCTAACAAAAAAACAGTTTTTTGTTCACCCTGAAAAGTTGGGAAAACTGAGATTGACCATGATGGTTCTTAGGCGACGATTTGTATTTTATATCTGTGGCTTAGATATACTTTAATTGGCTTCAATTGTTCCCCTCGAAGACCGCTGATAATACCATTATCAGTAGCGTATCCAGAATTTTTTTTCGGGAGGGGTTATAATTTATTTTTGTGGAATTTTATCTTAAAATGATTTATTAATGATAACGTTGTTATGATTTAACAATTTTCGGGGGGGGTTACAACCCCCTAACCCCCCCCCCCTGGATACGCCACTGACCATTATGTCCTATCTATATCTTTATTTTCTATGGATTTCACGAAATATTTAGGGGACGGTTATCAACTATCAAGTGGCCTGGGGTTCTTACCACAGTAAGAATGAAAATAAAATTATGAACTAACAGCGCTCCATGTGGACTAACTCATATTTACGTGTAAATGAAATATTTAAATTTTAAATCATATTAATATTGGTCTGTAATCTGTACTTATTGACAGAGAAACCGAGAAACTGATATTTTTCTTGCTATTCATCAATTTAATTTTTGTTAACATTAACTACAGTGGTGACGGATTTCCCGAAAAACTCAAAAGACGCTTAACCAATTGTACCTACCTTTAAATCTAAAACAAATACTTTAGATAATAGATTATACATCGTACACGGTACACACAACTACACAACCGTCACAACAACTCTAGTACAGAAGTACACTGCAGTCAGCACTGATTTTAATTTGTAATGGTACATTGCCGGTCGGCCGCGTACGTACAAAAAAATATATTTTTATAGTTTATATTGGTTGTGAGTTTTAGAATGCCAGTTGCGCAAAATGAAATTTAAAACTGTAGCAGCTTTACTGGACGGTGTGCACACAGATTTTGTAGCGTCGGTTTTCGAGTAATATTTGATTCGTGATGTGCATTTGTTGATAAAACTTAATATCTATATTTAATATGTTCTGTTGCATTTCACAGGGATACTACCTTTATTGCGGTCACTCAAAATTCAAAACTGGGAACGTTGTATCTGGTTAAGCCAGAATCTTGTACATTGGAAGATCAAGGATACGACATAAAGTGAGATCTTAATTTTTAAACTTTAACAATAATGATTAATCATTAATACAATTTTTGCTTATCTTAGAGTGCTATTTGGCCGAGAAGACGATAATCAAACTTCGAGTATTGTTAGTTTAATGCGAGCATTAAACGTTAACAGCAGAACTATTATTTCTCTTATGATTGAAAACACTAACTTCAGAACTTTAAGAGCTGTACAACAGGTCTTATCTACACTGATTTAAAAATTTAACATACCTAGCAACATGCCTCTATATGGACAAGTCATCATTGGACCACCCGGTAGTGGAAAAACTACGTATTGTGATGAAATGAGCAAGTACTTACAAGAAATGGGCAGACGAGTAGCCATAATCAATATAGGTCAATATATTATAAGTATAATTATCTATGAATATTGAATAATAATAAACTTATGATTTTACAAATGTAATTTATGGCAACAATTTAAAAATGGTAGATTTAAGGTGTTATTTTCTTGCTGTTTTTATAGGTATTGTAACAAAGTAAAGTTTTTACTTTTTACCACTAAACCAATGTACATAATAATATTATATACATAAATATCTATGTAGGGATATACATTTCTGTAATAAATGTATTTTTACCAACTAAAAGAAAAAATTAATTCTTTGAATTGTTTGTGTTTTTAGATCCAGCCAATGATTCATTGTGTTACAAAGCAGCAATTGATATATCAGAACTTATTACAGTTGAAGATGTTATGGATTATGTAAATTTAGGACCCAATGGAGCTCTGATTTATTGTATAGAATACTTGGAAAAGCGGCTTGATTGGTTGTTGGAAAAATTAAGGAAACTGACTGATTATTATTTATTTTTTGATTGTCCCGGACAGGTATATAATTAATTATAATTTAACATATTAAGCTGGATCTAATAATATTTCACTCAACTCAGGTAGAAATATACACTCATCATAACTCAATGAAAAATATTATGTCTGCAATTAAAAATGAATTAGATTTGCGGTTATGTTGTGTACAACTCATTGATTGTCATTATTGCAGTGATCCAGGTATGTTTTTATACCGTGAAAAATGGTGTAAGACTTAAAAGTAGTCATAATTTATGTAATCTTCAAATAAATAAATAAATCAGTTGCAACACTGAAAAACAAACTTCAACACAAATTATTTGAATTAAAACAATTGAAAATCTTAAAACTGCTCTCCTGTAAAATGTAGTATTTCTGTCGTACAATTTTTGGTAATAACCATATTATATTCTTCTTTGCCCTTGTCCTACCATATGGCTTATATTGTATTCTGTAAATGAAGAGAATTTTAATAATTATTCATTTTCAGGTAAATACATTTCAGCACTTCTGATGTGTACATCTACTATGTATCAAATGGAATTGCCTCATGTGAATATATTATCAAAAATAGATATAGCTGTTAAACATAAGTCAAAGCTATTATTCAATTTAGATTTTTATACAGATGTATTGAGTCTTGATCAGCTATTGGATGCATTGCAAAATGATCCCCACACTTCAAGGTATGCACATATTTTGACATAAAATTATAATTTTAATAGAAATTTTATGGTATACCAACACCACAATATTAATCTCCAAAAATCTTTAGCTGGGAACAATAGAACCACTTTTGTAAAAAAAAAAGAAAACATTATGTTATACCTAAATGTTGTATTAATGTTTGTATCCAGATATTTATGTATTTACATAATAATCAATTAGCTAATGCATATTTAAAAACTGATACAACATCTAACAAAAAAAAAAATCTATAGAATTAACAAACCTTTTTGATTTTGTCTATCTCCTTACATGCGGTGTAACTAGGGTTGCCACCTCTCCGGGCTTACACATAAATCTATGGGCTACGGATTCAGTGAATTATTCTCCAGGTCATAACATTTTTATATAATTATAAATAGTTTGAATGAGTAACAAGAACATTGATTTTCATTCGCCAAAAGATAAGATACATTTTTGTGTCAGTGTAATCGTTTTTTGATAGTCGTTTTTTTTTTACTTATTAGCCATCTCCGGGACTGCTATTTTTCAAAGGTGGCAACCCTAGGTGTAACTGTTTGTATGTACTTCCTAACTATAAATATGAGTGGAGTATGTGGTCTGCCAATGAATTGTGTTCTACTATAACAATTTTATAGTCATATCTCTTAGTGCAGAATTGGTATTGCCAGGGCTTTTCTTGGAGAGGAGCTTATAATTTTTTTTATACTATATGGAAGGTTTGATTATCCCTCTTAAGTTTGGCATGATGATTCCGAGATACTAATTAGTATAGTAAATTACAATGAATTTTTTGAATACTTGTAAAAGAATTGTAATGTATTTTTTTAATCTATAAAATCATAATTCTCAATTCTGTATGAGGCAGATTGTGGAAGAGTTTAAGGAGAAGAAAATTATTTTTTGTATGGTTCTTATAGACTTGGATAAGGCTTATGATAAGATTTCCAAGTGGTATCCACTTAAGGAAATGGGTACCATTGTACCAAGGGGTGTTTGTGAAAGTAATAGTGGACGTGTATCAAGGAGCGACAATAAGAATGAAGTGTATGATGTAGAAACGGAAGAATTTAGTGTAATAGTAAGTAGCTGTGCACCAGGGTCCAGTGTTTAACCCCTACCTGGTCTCCTTAATGATGGACAAAACAGATTGAGGTGCATTAAATAAGCAATTGTGTATGATTATAGGGGAAGTAATTGAGAAATTGATGGAGCAAGGCATAAGGGATGATATAGTGTATGAGGTGAATAGGTTCAAGTACTTAAGATCAGTGGAATAAAAAAATGGTGGTTTTGAGGATGACATCAGAAATAGGATTATGTATGGATGGATGAATTGAAGTGAAGTTTCATGTAGGTATTTTGAATTTTTGTGTGACAAGTTGATGCTGTTGAGATTAAAAGGTAGATAATAAAAGCAATATTGTGTGGCCAGTCCTGTTCTATGGATAAACATTTTTGGCATGATATATGGACATGCTCAATAGAGAATGGCACAAAAATAGTGTGAATAAAAGTGAGAGGCCGATGTTCCTATATGAAGGTGGAGGACAAGGGTGGCAGGCCTCTTATATTTGGAAGCGATAGGCAAAAAAAAGAAAATTCTATAAAATAAATATAATATTTTAACTTATCTCTGAAATTATTATAAATTATATTGTAGACTGCATACAATAGTTTTATTATCATTATAGTCTGTTATAGTCTACTATATATTTTTAATAATAAATAATAGATAAAAAAATTTTTTTTTAATAACTACTTTTTCTAAAATATTAGAAAAGCATAAATGCACATAGTTACATTTTTTATTTGTTTTTATAGGTATCATCGTTTAAATAAAGCTATAGTTAGTCTAATTGAGGGGCAAAATATTGTTTCATTTGTACCGCTTAATGTGAAGGATAAACGTACCTTGGAATTGGTAAGAAAGAATATCGATAGAGCTAATGGGTACATTTTTAACCCCGAAGAGAATCAAAATGCTGCAATGCTAAACTCAGTTATGCAATTGGATATCAACGATTTAACTCTTGACGTTTTAGAAGATTTACCTAAATCAGATTCATTAGATACAATGATGCAAACCTAACTTGTAATACCATAGTGTCAATAAAGCTCTAATATATCATTTATTTTTCTGATTATGTTCTGTAATTTTATTTTAAGAAGCAACAAATACAATTATTATTTGTAAATAAAATAACATTAAATCGAATATGTTAATTTTATTCTTAAAATCACATTCCAAATACCTACTTAAAATAATACCAAATAGACACACAGTACAGGACAAATTATACAAATTACATCGATATAAAAATGTATATAATAATTATATACCCTGAATATTTGAGAATATTTTAATAACTATACACATAATAAAATAGATAAAGATAAACAGATAGACAAAACATATACTGAAAATGTATTCATTTGCAAAGTTTGAAAACGAAAACATGCCAAACAATCAAGTAGAAATGTAGAATCATCACTTATAGTGGTGGTTAGAAAAACAGATTTAGAAGGATAATAGGTATTGTATAAACAAAAGTGTGTTTGAAGAATTATAAAATATGATAACAACTAAACAACTTGATAAACAATCATAAAGACTTAAGTATAATTGTTAATTACAATTCAAATTTAACACTCAGAGGGTTGTTGACCAAAAAAAGGCAAATATCACAATAAAATATTTAACAATAATTATTGATATAATGTGTAAGTTACATGCATATAAATATAAAGTTTACATAAATAAATAAATTTAACAAGAAATCATTTCAATACATCTTAACACACTGATTAAATAGTATCTATAATCTCTATAAACTATAAATATGAGATTATAAAATTTTACTTTGATCACAGTAGTACATTTCTATACATTAATTGTTTGGTTTTTATGTATAATTCATTGACAAGGCCTTTTCATAATCGTCTTCTCTAGAATTGCTGTCACTAGATAATATAGTTTCAGAGTGGGATATCGAGAATCCAAGTAATTCATTAACAGAATCCTGTAATGATGGCTGTGCTTGTTTCAACTGTTCATAAATACTATAAGCTGTAGTTAAAGCTTTATCCAAATCAATTTGTTCGCATAAATTATTTACGTGCTGAAAATGTTAAATCAAATATGTTAATTGTGTTACTATGTTTAGATGTAACTGTTAATATGATATAAAACAAAAATCCCTTCTGGATAATTTTTGATATAAGTAGAAATTAATAATCAATTGAATGACAGTACTAACTTTCAATATTTCAGTTAATCCATAATTTTCATTGATAATTGTATCCTTTTCATTATCCAATATCGCCACACATATTAGCAAATGGAAATTTGCACAGGGAATATCTGTCCATAATACTTCCCATAAGCGCATGATGTCAGAATAAATAAATTCTCGTTTGAACAAAACCAAAAGCCATCTAAAGCAAAAGTACATATTGCTGGAATCCATCTTTTTCAAATGGTTTTCTAATTTTGGTGATACAGTTGTAAGCAAGTAATGCAAATCGTTCAACTGTTTTTTCATGCCAGTTTGTTTCAGTTCAAAGTTAGTATTCTAAAACAGAAAACAAATCTCGTAATAATCTTCATTGTAATTTACTTGGGGAAACGTCTGTTATTTATTTTTATTGTACTCACAACTCTATTCATGAAACCCACGAAACACCAAAATGATTCTACTTCATCGCTGTTCATTATCATCAATATTGGTGATAACAAATCACTCATACCCTGGACATAACCGAGATCAAAATTGTACATAACATAAGTCATTAATACATTATGTAGTTTAACAAGATTATCATTTCCTTCTCCGGCATAAAAATCGAGAGTGCGGTCAGTTCTATATACATCTTTATCTGTACACAAAAGAAAATCATTTAATAACTATGAAAATTGGAAGATTGTCTAAATATTTACCTATTAGGCTCTTTCGATCTCTGTACATATTAAACCTAGATATTTGATCAGAAGACATATTCATCCATTGCACTTTCATTCTCTCATATTCAGTTTTTTGTTGTTTATCAATGTTTATACGTTGTTCTCGAGTAGAATTCCAAGGATAATATCCAAGTAAGTACTTCCATACTTCGTGTCTTATTGAATGTTCACAGCCCTATTTAAACAAATCAAATTAATAGAATTCTTTACATGTATACATTTATAAGACTCACTCCATAAAAAATTATGTTTTTAATGTAATCTTCGTTTGTTATTCTCCCCTCATCATTCATAGATTGATAAAAAGTGGTTTGATCTAATGGATTTCCTCTTGACTTTATTCCCGGTCTTGGTGGCAATACAGTTGGTGGAGGGTGATCTACCATAGTATATTCGTCATCTTCCTCAGCTCTATTTAAGAGCTCGGCCACTTCTTGGTCTGGTCTTGTGTCTGGTGTGCGAGTCACTAAATATTCAATGTACAATTGTAGTCAAATGTAAGTACATTCAGTATATTATAAATAATGCTATATAGCATATTTTACTCACAAAGAACATCACTAATTTTTGCAAATGTTTCATACGTTTTTTCCACAGGATTGTTTTGGAAGCCACTAATAAAACTCCAGACTGTACTTGTGGGTGGTTGATCCGGAAATATCTTTAATTCTTTAATTGACTGACACAGAGGATCTGAATCTTGTCGTTCACCCAACACCAATATCACTCCAGTAGGTCTGTGATGTCGTATTTCTCTAACATAACATGATTAGATAAATAATAATTATAATTTATGTATTTCATTTTATTTTTTAACGTATGTATTTATTTACTTTTCTGTATGAAGTAAGGTCTTTAGAGCGGTCACAAAATCACTAATAGGTGAGCTTTCAAACAAAAATGTAACAAGTGAACCATTAACTTGGAGAATTGATATTTGATGTTTTTTGTGTTTTTTCATTTTATAACTCTTCATTGTGGCCAAGTTAATTTTTATATCAATATTACTACGATCATCTAAAAAATAAAAAATATTTAAATTAATGAACTATTTGAATTTTAGCATATAAATTATTATGTCCTAAATTGGTTTATTACATATTGCAACAATTATTTATGACCTTAGACAGTGACGTATTTAGGGGTGGCAGGGGGGGCTTGGGCCCCGGGCGGTCAAATCTTAGGGGCGGTAACTTTTGGAAAGCTTTTTGATATAATACGGTAGGTTATTTTGGTGATAAAAAAAGTAATTATACTCATAAAATTATTATTATGATTTTTTATTTTCATTTGTCACAAAACATGCATTGATAATACCTACTGAGACATAGAAAAATATAATATTATAGTATGAGAATGGAGTGACAGTGTGACACAGAATAGATGAAAGCTAAGGTCCTTAGAAGTATTGAAAATATACTCTTTACAGCTATCAGCTTAAATATTACAATAGAAAAGAAGGTTAAAGATCAATATTCTAAGTTACTTACTTTTATTTTTTCCATTTTGTTTGTATCCAGTATCAACTATATTCCATTCATCTACATCAGGGAATATAGACATTTCAGTTGGCTTCCATTCAATAAACTTAGCAGTTCTCTACAAAATATATTTATAATGATTCAACCCATTAATAAAAAAATATTTTAGTTATAAAATCTTACATATTTCATAATTCTCAATAATCCTGTATAATGAGTCTCTGCATTTTTATGACTCTTTGATCCTTTATGCAATTTACTTAAACTTTTTATCGCTACTCCTTGTTGGACAAAATACTCCTAAAAAAAAATGTATTAATAACATATAATAAGAAACAAAAATTGGTAATTTACTGTTCCGACTTCTTCATCTGAAGCAGTAGATTCAGCACTTTCATAAGTTGAATTCATTTCTGTGGTAGTTGTTTTCTCATATAAGACTACAGTACCTGCTCCAGCTAAAAACAAAAACATTAGATAAATTTAATTCATCTAACCATAATAGTTTCTTTTATATATTTCAGTTGCTTGTCTTGCAAATTAATTGATTTACTGACAAGCATTATAAAATAAACAAAAGTATGTAAATATTATTTATGATTTAATAATCATCATCTGTTATCGCAGCACTGTTATATTATGCTAAAATTATATTCATTTAATTATTTCCCTATTATAAAGTTGAAAACCCAATGAACTTTAGTCTTTACCTGCACCGTCATTTTGATTGGTATTTGTTTCAACAACGCTTGTATTAGACGCCATACCTTCCATTTTTCTCATTAAGAACAATATTCCTTTTAATAAATTAGACCTGTCATTTTGATCTCGTTTTTCAACAGCTGGTAACTTATCCACACGGTTCATCAAATGACATAATTTTGCATCGGCCGATCTATACTGTTCACTGTACCTGTCCCCCTGAATGTTGTCAATCATTGCATTGATGACTTGCAATTTTTTAACGCATGTCTTTACTTCACTCTTTACGTCAACTCCAGGCACTTTACTATCGGTGTTCATCAACGAGTTGCCCTCGACTTCGATTCTCAACAGACCACGTAGAACACTCCTCATTTCGTTTACATCGTTCATGGCGGCTATCCCTCTAGCCCTCAACTCGTACGACAATTCCTCTTCGTCCAATTTGGTGACATCCATTTTTTTTTTTATTCGTCACTCGCAAACTATTTATATAATATATTTTATTTTGTTATTATAACTTATAAGAGACAAAAACACTGCGTACATAAAATATGCTATAGGTTTATAAGTACCTCCTATACTACAACTGTGGTCGCGATGACTTTACATCACGATCACGTACAACAACAACAAATACCAACGGCCTTGTAACGATATTGAGGTCATACAAACCCGTTCTCGTAATGTTTGTTATTCCTTTCTCACTATTTATTTTTTATTTTTTCGACAGCAATCTGCTCAATGCACACACAACACTGCCCTCCCTCCCGCCACAGTGGATATTACCGTCATCCCATGTTCCTATGACAAACGCACTGCACATACGATACAATAAGGTACCTGTCTGATTCGGTCTGTGCAAAATCGTCCGGACTATGCACGTGAAAGTATGAAACTGCTAATTCAGACGACAACATCAGACGAACATCAGTACATCACCACGTCACGTCATTAGGCATCGTTTCGTTCTCACTGTTCCCAGCGAAAAATATTAGGAAAAAGCTGCTTTGTGCCTGTGTGAACTGTGAAGGCGAAAGCAGATTCAGCCAGTAATGCAATATCAGTGTATCGCACATCGCAATTTGCAGCCAACGAATTATAATTTACTATTGTAGTATTGTTGTTCGTCGTTATTTTTATCAACCTAAAATAGAACCGCGGTTATATTATCTAATATACTGATAATAGAAATAACAATAAAGGCGGGTTCACACTACACCGTGTCGTGTAATATAATCACGGTTACCTCAGTTACCAAACGATACCGCATAGTTGAATATATTCAACTTTTGACCGTGTGGTTACATTAAGTATGAACCCGGCTTTATCTGCACATAAATGTAACCACACGGTCAAAAGTTGAATATATTCAACTATGCGGTATCGTTTGGTAACTGTGGTAACCGTGATTATTTTACACGACACGGTGTAGTGTGAACCCCCCTTAAGAACAAAAATAAAACTAACGGTACGGTACCTACTACCACAGAGGCACAGAACGATTCTACTGCCTACTACCTATTGTTCGATGTTCTGGCGCCTGGCGGTCTTACACTCCTACGACCTACACTAATAATATTTAAATTTTATCTTAATCCTTATTTCGAATTCCTGCCCGTTGCCAAAGGCGTAGAAGTGGGACATGGATGGTCTGGGTCACTGCAGTGCTATACTGTACAATTGCACAGTGGTAAAAAAGAAAATTTTATTTTTTATATTTACAGTATATTCTGAGGCAGTTTAAGCCTAAACATGGAATTTCAAATTAATTAATTAACATGTTATGCTCGACTTACAGAGCTGTTTGTACAAAATATATTAATATTATGTATACCTATACTATTTGATTGACATTTTCAAACTTTCATACATTTTTATATTATTTAATTTTCTCACTTAGTTAAAACTATAAGCAATATAATTTTTTTTTATACAGTTATTATATTGTTCTAAAATATGTAATAATGAATGATTATTATTTTTTTTTTCTAGTATTTCCTTTATTATTATGTTATTGAAATAGTGGCTAAAGTTCACTTTACCAAACCCCTTCACGATCTTCAAATTTTTTTTCAAAGGACTTGTTTTTTTATGCTCAAAACGATGGTGTAATTTTTTTCCCGGAAACTGTTATTTTAGAAATTATAGCCTTCCAACGTTTACGATTTTACGTTTAGGCGCTACTTGACTGCCACGCTCAGCGCCTAATTGCCGCCTATAACAAATTTTAAGTTTTTTTTTACGTATTTTAACGAGTTGTGGGATAGGAGTCATTTTTTGGGTGAATAATATTAGAAATCACGTCATTATTAAGGTGAAATATAAACTATATTTGAGTACCTAATTAGACTAGGTATATTAGCCCAATTAAAATATATAATAAATAAATAATAATATTTTTTTGGGGAAACCTATGTATTTCAAATAGGTTTCAAAAAAAATTTATTTATTTTACTTTAACTGGCCATCGTGTCTGGCTACCGGAGCCGATATGCGACGGGAGGTCCCTTGAGTTTGAAGACCAGAACACTATACATGTGTTACTTCAACTAACAAGGTTAAAATTACTTGTTAGGTCATCCGTGTGCCCGAAGGGCAGGTATGCTCTTCGATTCAGGCCCGATTCGCCGACACCCAATTTGCCGACTACTCGATTCGCCGACGCGGAAACCGGTCTCCGGTAAAAATGAAAAAAGTTCCAATTTGCCGACAAACGTAATTTTATAAAATATAAAAATAATATTTATGTGGAAATCTAGAATATTACAATCTACAATCAAAATGTTGATGAAACTATTTTACTACGATATTATTGACATTTGTCAGTTGACAGCAGTGCTCGAATTGGGGGGGGACGCAGGGCGACGGAGCTCCCCTTCAAATTTTAATTTTTTTTAGCGTACCCCTTCTTATATTTTTAATTTGAACGGGGGGACGGTACGACTCCCGTGTAAATTATTATTGAAAAACTTATAAAACGTTTATTTATAGATATTTATTATGTATTATCAATTTGAACAAAATATGCGATAAATTGTAAATTTCATTAATGATAAAAATCAAAATATATAAGATAATTTATTAATATAATCACGGACCACAGACTATTATAATACAGGTCTACATATTATACTGATATCCCTACTAATAATGTGTATAAATAATGTATATTATATCGAGATTAAAATTAAAAATTCATGTTATCGGATGGTCTGTTGGTGTGTAACACTGTAAACAGTACCTATGTAGTTCATAATATCTATATCTAATAATAATTATAGCATTATTGTTACGCTCATAAGTTAAGGTCGGTTTTTATCGATTATTGTTTAATTATAACATTTCTTTTTGTACCCTACTGCAGTACTGCTTATCAATTGTATAATAAATACAAAACGCACTAAACGACAAAATATTGAAGAGAACCATTCATATGTAGAGCTATGGAATATATTAAAAATTTAAAAATTTAAATAATGTATAAAATATCTTAAAATGAAATAAAAGATTTGTTTGTATTTTAATAATATTTATTTATTGTTGTAGTGTAACGTTTGTTGAATTTTAATGATTGTTTGATTTGTGTTGAAAATACTATATGGGGGGTGTGGGGGGCGAAGCCCCCCACAGGTTAGTTTGGTTGAAATCATTGAGTGGAACGCTACATTTGTATAAGTCCTTTAGCACCCCTTCTATTATATTTCCAATTCGAGCACTGAGTCAACTTATATAGACATATAGTAATCATTGCATCGACAGCCTTAGTTCCGATTGAACAAATTGATAATTGTTGGACAGAAATTCATAGTGAAGCACCACAGCCAGAAAGTAAATATAACTTAATATATAACTTTTTACGTAATTTGTTAGAACTATATTAGCAAAACCTAATTTTTTGCCATTATTATTTTAGGTGTGCTGAAATTATTAAATTATTTTACCAAAACATACATGGATCCAGATATTTGTCTGTTTAATAGAAATACGTGGAATCATTTTAATACAGAGGGAGCAAGGACCATAAACCACCTTGAAGGATGGCATGCAGCTCTTAACAAAGCTATTGGTAGACCAAAGTCAAACATATTTATTTTAATCAAAGAGCTGAAAAACCAACAAACAAACTTAGAGCTTGATCTCATATAGCGCAAAAAAACTGCAATCGGCCACAAAAGATGAAAATAAAATACAAAAAATTAGAAGAAAGATTATCATTTGCAAAAGAAAGGTAAAGCGTTTATGACATATAAAAATACATTTTTTTTCTAATAACGTGATAAAATATAATTCTAGGCTACAAAGGTGTCTAGGCTGCGATTTCTATCTTGGGGTACATGGACGCCATAATGTTTCATTTACATTTATAAAACAAAAGCACATAAGGATAAGCTATATAGATTATATATTTTGATAGTTGATTTGAACAATGTTCGTGATTTATAAAAATTTAAAACAGTAAAAAAAATTATATTTTTAAGTGTACTTTTGTAATTCATTATCAATGAATGCAAATCGGGATGAAAAATGCATGTCGGCAAATTGGGTGTCGGCAAATCGGGTGTCGGCAAAATGGTGTGTCGGCGAATTGGTTTGTCGGCCAATCGGTACGTCACGATGCTCTTCACCCCCGCGACACCGAAGGGGTTGCCATCCCTCCCTCTCCCCCCCAGGTTTTGCTATTTAAGCCCCGGGGGCTTGAGGGCGAGCACCCATTCAGCGAGAGATCCGGAGGACCTCGAGCTTAGCGATCGGAGCCGGCAGGCGAAGAGAGCCACTAATCACTATATAGGTACTTATGTTACTCTAACTGACCATCGAGTCTGGCGACCGGAGCCGGTAATGAGCCCAAATGTATTATGTAAACAGGTCGAGGAGTGAGAACACAAATTGACTATGCATATATGGGCTTGAAACTTTTTATATAAAATTCTCGGGGTCCTCCGCTCGTCATTATAGTGGTGTTGAGCGCATGCGTATAAACGTAAAATCGCAAACTTTGCAGGGAGCTTATAACTTCTAAAATAATAATTTACACCATCGTTTTAAGCATAATTAACAAGACATTTGAAAAAAAAAATTGAAAATCGTGAGAGGGTTGGTAAAGTGCATTTGTTCCGAAATAGTGTTTTAATGGTTTTTGAACTTTGGAGGAATGATACTTAAATTTTTCTTTTTTTCCTTGTAAAAATGTACAGCGTCAATCACTATAAATTATAATATGTTTGTTATGTTCAAAGTAATTTTCATTAATGTCTGGAATAATTGCTCATTTGCTCAATTGCTCAGTTTAATTAAATGCCATTTAATAGCGATTGAAACTTGAAAGTGATAAGCTAGCTGTAACGGGGACGCTGTGTATAATTTTTTTATGTTAATTTTGAAGTTCCCCGTTTCAGATCCAACTCCGCCGGATAGTTAATTGATAAGCTTTTAATCGCAGCTCTGTGGTGGTCGCTGGTCACTGGTCTTACACTGACTACACTTCTACACTACCTACACTATTTATTTACATTAATATATTTGGTTCTTATTGCGAATTCGTGCCCGTTGCTATAGGGCCAAGGGGGGCATGGGCGGTCTGAAACTCAGGAAAAAAGAAAAAAGAACAATTTAAAAAAATTAAAAATGTATTATTGATTATGAAAATTAAAAAAAAATATTATAAAATATCAATAGTATGAAAAATGCTATGAAAATTAATTTTTGTATTTTTATTACCAATAATATGGTTTATTGAGTGGTTTGAGAGTAAAAACACATAATATTATCTATATTGTTAAAGAGAAGCCAATCTGTGCCAGCATAAAAATACATTTTCGATATATTAATTACTTAACTCAATAATTAAAATTCAAAAAGTAAAATTGAAGTTTTAGTGCAATAAATTTATTGGACATTGAAAATAAAATATCGAAAATTGACTCATACATAACACATATTTTTTTATTACCTATACTTGAATGTATGTCAAATGATTTATTAAATATTTTGTATAGCCCATAGTCTATAAACTATAGAGAATAGACAATTTGACTTATTAGCTTTTTTGTAGGTTTGCAGTGTTACCAGTGATTAATAGGTAATAATAATTATTTGATATTATTATTTTTTTTGAGATAATTAGGTATATTAATAGGTAAGTTTATAGTAAATTTTAAAATTTTAAAATTGTTCTTTTTTTCTTTGGTATTTTTACCGATTACCGGGCGGTCTGGGTCACTATGCTTCTGTGCGACCGCACAGTGGTATAAATAAAGACAATTTTATAGGCAGCCAAAAGTACTATTTTAAAAACTAAAAAATTTTAGTTTTTTTTTTTGATCGATAATTTATCTTTACAATATTCTGACTTCTAAGCCTAAACAGAATTTAACATAGTACACTCGTCTTATAGAGCTATTTGTATACAATATATACATTATTTGATTGATATTTTAAAACTATAAACAATATAATTTGTTATATGCATTTCTTATAGGTATTGTCCTAAATGTAATAATGATGGATTATTATTTTTTTTTCTAAATTTGCTAAATTAGGTATATTTTTGAAATATTAAGTGTGATAATGGTTTTTGAAATTTGGAGGGATGGTACTTAAATTTACGACATTTTACCAATTGTTCAATATATACATTATACATATTAGTAAAGGAAACTGATAGGTAGTTCAAAATATAAATGTTTTTTGCATTCAGGTTCCACAGTAATTTACAAAAATGGTCTTCTTTAAATAAACGTAACCTACTATTGTACAAAATACAAATTGCGGTTATCACAGATTATAACAACATTTATTATAATATTGTATATGATAACTGTGTTTCGTTCCATGACAAAGGATTTGTTCTTCTATGATACTTCGTCTATGCTTGTTCTCTTTCTAACACACGGTCTTATAAGACCGGTCCACGGACTAAGATATAATATAATATAAGATATCTTAGTCCGTGGACCGGTCGTATATGTGGTACAAGTGGGGTTGCCCCGCACTGTATCAACATGCGTTCGTTCTGGACTCCGTCGCAGGAAGGTTAGGTACACAAGTTTAGGTATTTGAAATGAAAGGAACACACAATGTTGTTGATTGACGCGGTTGCGTCGAAAGTCGTTTATTGTTAGACACCAAAATATAAATATGTGGTCGTACGCAGTACGACGATAGAGGGTACGTTTTGGGGTCGAGCGCATGGTCGTTCAGGTCGGCGGTATCGGATGTGTGCTCAATGCGTGCGCGGTCGAGCGAGCGTCGGTACGTAGGCGGGTCGGGCATGAGTTCGGAGGCCGTGGCGAGCGGTCGTGTACGGGGACCCTATGGGTCGTGTAAGTGTAACACGGCTCGTCGGTTGTCGAATCATGGCGTCGGGTCGGGAGCGAAATACTCGGTACGTGTGGCTCGGTCGAGGGCGGTGAGCAAAGAGAACGATGCCGGCCGGTCGGACGGCCGCGTCGTGAGCGTCGGGGACGACAGAGATGGCGTCGCCAATCGGAGACGCGAGATCGATTAGCGTGGGAACATAAATATATAAAAATCACAGAAGTTGTATAAATAAAACGAATATAAAATAAGTCACAAATGACAATAAAAATATGGTTGGCACCGCGGAGCGGGTGGTAACTCGGTCGGTGAGAGCAAAGTGGTGATAAGCGCCGAAGTCACCACATATACATAGATATATATTATTAAACATAATAATATATATCTATGATTATAGTATCTTTATAAGGAGATGGTCATACTAACCATGGTTTTGGTATTAACTGGTTACCCTCTCGCTGCGTCGTCACCACAACCACCCCCCGCCAACGACCGGCGGCCATCAACGAACACTCAATCGCGGTGAAGCTGACGTAGTGACGCTCACTCGACATTCGACAAGTCGACAATCGCTCTGTTCTTTTTGGATGCGCACGTTGGACGGTCAAGTCCTGCTGATTGTTTTTTTCCATTTGTTGTGAGTATTGTAATTATTTATGGATAGACATTTGTTTTTCGTTCTTCTAGACTTGAACTATTTGTTATCGACGATCGACGTTGGTTTCGTAGGATTTTCGGTGGTTTTCAGCCATCCCCGCGCTGGATCGATACAGATGAAAAATCGCCGACACGAGTTTATCGCTCGCCGTCCTCGTTTCTATATGCATACTATATATATATATAGGGTTGCTAATTTTTTCGATACCCACTGATACCTATATCTTGTTAGATTTATTCTCTATGTTTCCCGTTCGGTCATGACTTTTTTGTATAAGTTTTAAAACATTTTTTTTTTTCTTGAATAACCAATCCTTATACTGTGCGATTGCCTCTTTTATGACGTCGCGAGTCTGAATTTTAGAATGCATTAACCACATGCCCGTCGAATTTATAATATATAGCGTGTTGTGTTTTAACTTCTGAACCTTAGTTTCAGGTAACGATTAAAAATGGTTAACGGACGCATTCCGTCCGTGTACAGTAAAACCTACGTGACGCCCCGTCGTCCGTATGAGAAAGCACGTTTGGACCAGGAGTTGAAGATCATCGGAGAATATGGTCTGAGGAACAAGCGTGAAGTATGGCGTGTGAAATACACTTTGGCCAAGATCCGTAAAGCCGCTCGTGAGCTGTTGACCCTCGAAGAGAAAGATCAAAAGCGACTTTTCGAAGGTATGTTTTTAATTTATGTCTAACCAGACCAACCAATTATTTATATTGCTTACAAAATATTACAATGATGAAACCAAATTGTATATTCTGACACCTCTCGTCTGAAATTCCGACAATGTTGCTAATTTAAACCTTTCTGAGTTTAATTATATTTTGTATAAGGATAATATTTTATCAATGTTCTGGAATTTTTTATTAGTGGGCAATGTGAATAATTAAACAAATTTTTCCAGGTAACGCTTTGTTGCGTAGGTTGGTTCGTATTGGAGTATTAGACGAAGGGCGCATGAAGCTTGATTACGTTTTGGGTTTAAAAATTGAAGATTTCTTGGAACGCAGACTTCAAACTCAGGTAAATGTGTTGTATAAATAGGAAAAGAAAAAACATGAGCCGATAAACTAATATGATGAATTTATTATTATTTTCTGACACCTCTTCTGAAAAAATATTTTTGTTGATAATTATATATCTGATGGTTTACGGCTGAATTTTTTTTTTTATAATTTGTTTGATAGACATTTATCCTCGTTTATTAAAGAAAAATGTATATAATTTTAGGTGTTCAAATTGGGATTAGCCAAATCGATTCATCATGCACGAGTTTTGATCCGTCAAAGACACATTCGGTATGTATTTTGACTTTTTTAGTGTATGCCAATTGTTTTGGGCAAGGATGCTTGTTTATTCTACCAAGATATTCCTAATCACAATTGGGCTAAAGTATTTGCACTGTGTTAATCCAAGTTCAGATAAATGTTTTCTGATCTTTTTCATGACAATGCTACAACTTTATTAATTATACAATACTAGTAATTTAAGCCTATTATTCTTGGGCAAGGATGTTCTTAAATCTTATATGAGCAAATCTTAATCATGATAAGGCAATAATATAATACTTTGGTTAATCAAAGGTCGGAACGTGTATCGTCTGTCTTTTTCATGACAAAGTGACAGATCTAATGCAGTATATTACGGGTTTTTCTACCTTTATTAAATGTATAATTAGGCCATTTGTTCTTGGGCAAGGATATTCATAATACAATTTTAAGTAATCCTAATCACAATGGGCTAAATAAATAGACTTTGGTTAATCAAAGGTCAGAACTACTATTTTCTGTCTTTTTCATGACAAAGTAACAACTTTTTTAATGTTATGTATTGAATATAATTTGTTTGCGGTTTGGGTTGGGAATGTTAGGTTATAAGTACTACATTTATAAATACATTTCTTTAACTTGGAAGCTAATAGTCAAATGATTGTTTTCCTAATTAGATGAAAGTCAACTGCCACTCAATATTGGCAATGAGTTCAATTTAAATTTTTATCAGGCCACTTAAAATGTTCATTATTTATAATGCCATTTTAACGTCTGTAAAACAACCATTTAATTGTTGTTGTTATGTACTGGTCCCTTTGATAAATCCATGTTAAGACCAAAAATGTGAGTTGTTTATGATTTTATACAAGTGTCGTTTCTGATACTTCCAAATTGTGAAACTTTCCGTGATGACCAGTAGTTCAGAATGAGTTAATCAATTTTGTTTTTCATTTTACAGTGTGCGCAAGCAAGTAGTAAATGTGCCATCATTCATTGTTCGTCTGGACTCTCAGAAACACATTGACTTCTCCCTGAAATCGCCATTCGGTGGTGGCCGTCCAGGACGTGTAAAGAGGAAGAACTTGAGAAAGGCCAAGACTGCCAAGGACGATGGCAATGCTGCAGAAGAAGAAGAAGATTAAACTTTTTAATCATTCTCCTTGCTCTGTACATTGAATTTTGAATTAATGAAAATATACTGACAACTAATTTTAATTTTTCGGTTTTCACTTATTTACTTATTTTATTTAGTCATTAGTACAGTTAAAATAACTGATTGTTGGTACATTATTTGTAAGCATTATGGAATAATTGAATTAACATTTAAATTTTTATATGGAATGGAAATAATTTTTTCACTGACAGATTTATGCAACTGCTGACTGCCCATTTGTTAGAGATGGGTAAAATATTTTGAATATTGAAGTTTAAAACATCGGTTGTTTAGATGTATCGAATTCTTGGGATAACCTCTATTGAATAAATATTCAATTCTGTTGTGTGTTCAATGACGGGTAGAGCCAATTAGATAAGATTATATTTTTTCTTATAGATTTACATGGACCTTGCCAAATAGTACTGTTTCAATATTTTTTTTAATAACACGTTAAGTGCCATACGGCTGCTGGTGGTCACACCATTATGAATCATCTGTACGCCGAGTATATTTTTCAGTGTCTTTCTAAATTTGTGTATTATACTATTTATTTAAAATAAGTTAAAAAATTAAAAAAATTGTAATGATTCACGGCGCTTTTTTGGTGGATTATTGTAGCGCCGTGAAAAAGTAATATAAAACCATATTCATTTACGGTCACCGCCGGTTATGTGGCCTGATAGTAATGATCAGAGACCGGATTTATATGCACTTAAAATTATGAAAATAAGATGCTTCTATGCTCTATAATTTCGTCAAAATAATCCTTTATATGCAAAAATATTTCTTTTCATAAAAATGTATTAAACACTGAAAAACAAATAAAAATAACAGTTTATAATTATATTACAGTTATATTTAATCTATAATATGGTGTACCTATATTTAAGTATTTAACTGTTGTAACACAAACTTATGAATTCAAAAAATAATAATACTAAAATTAAAAATAATTGCATATACCTAGTTCATTAACAGAATAATATTATATTATGTATTCAAACTCAAACTTAAGTAATTCAGCCTTATGAATCCAAAAAATGTTATTAAAAATAAAAAAAATGATTTCATATAGTTCAACAACAGAATAATATGTATTAAACTAACTCCAACTTAAATAATTCAGCCTTATGAACTCAAAAAATAATAATAACAAGTTTTAAGTAATAAAAATAAAAAAAAATTTTATTATCTATTAGATTTTTATAAAATGTTCAAATTTGAACCCATATGGCAATATATTCCTATAACATATTTTTTACACAAAATATTCTTCAACCTTAAAATATTCTTTTTTATGCGCTAAAAAATTTTGTGTATCAGTTTATAGGTAAATGAATCGTCAAGAAAGCTTATCCAATTGGAGCTGCATACTCTCAGTAAAGATATGTAAATACATAAAAATCTGGTCTCTAGTAATGATCAATTGTGGCTACATGGCACTTGACGTATTAAAGAGAAAAAAGGTTAGGTAAGGTTATGAAAATAATATTTTTTGATACATCAAAGATTAAATATTGATCTATTGAACAAATACCTCAAAAAATGATTTTTGCCCTCCTTTCAAAGGTGTGAAACTTCGGTGAAGAATTATTTTATTTCACAATATTTACATAGTTAAATAATTTAATTCTAGCCAAGCAATGCAGACATAATTGAAACTACACAATGGGGGCCATGGAATGATGATACACTATTAATATTTTAAACTATGTTTCGTTTGGTCCGTCTTACCTTATCAGTAGAGAATGATTTTTAGGTTCTCAAGTTAAATATAGTCAAATATTCTATGAAATATGCAATTTTTTCGTTGTGGATAACAGTAAATTGTATGTATAACCTAAAAAACGTGAACTTCTGCTAAAATAATATGTATAATGTAATTACTTCAATATTGTGTGTATTTTTTTATTCATAATATGTGACAGAATATCAAAATGTTCTACGGTAACTTCAAAACAAATTGTATTAGGGTATTCAAGCAAATCGACCAATGAAATCAAATGAAGGGCGCTCACCCTCATGCATTCTTCTCTGTCTTACAACCGCATAACATGGCAAATTTTACGCTCAGCAGATCACGTTTAGCTCTGTAGTTTAAAAATTAGAGTAAATTGACCGTTATACAATTTAAAGGTAAGATTTTTATTTGGCAAACCTAAGTTTTTTTTTTTTATTTTTATCTTAAACCAAGTTATGAGTATTTTAAAATACTCTTAACTTGGTTTAAAATAAAAGTATAAAAAAAAACTTATGAGGTTCACTAGATAATATTCTTACTTCTAAATTTTACTAGAGGTCACTAATTTTTAAACTGAGCTATACGCGTTCCGCTGAGCGTATTATTTGCTATGTTATGCGTTTTTAAGACAGAAAGAACGCTGTGAGTGTAGCGGGCTCTTTACAAAAAAAAATAATATTATAATTTTTCTGATAGATAATTATTAGTTTAAAATTTTAAATGGAAAACAATTTTTAGCTTGAAAGACGTATACTAATAAAAAGTTCTATTGTAATAGTTAATATCTAAATGTCTAAAAGCCATAACGATTACCGGATTACGTCAATATTCACATAAAATTTGAATAATAAAAATGTCATTGTTAAAAACAAACGGTTTCCATAATTTTTTTAACATTTTCTGCGTCAAATAACCTCCCAATCGTGAAATGAACCACAATGTTCTGTTTTTTAGACAAAATATTCTCTAATATGCAAAATCATTTCCCCCTATTAATCCCGTAAGCACGGACATGTCAGTAGGTGATGAATTGTTGTCATTGTATATGGCCAATTTAGCATGTGAAAACCAATCACTTTCTACTCATCAGTAACAATATTGTTTCCACTCAACAATTAAAATTGTTTTCCCTCATAACACTAAATGCACCATAATGATACTACACCATGGTACAAGTATTGTTTATTGAATTGCCTAATATATCAAATATATGTTTATAAGATGTAACTTAACAAGAAGATTCAAAGTAACGGCACAAATACACTTTATAAAACTGATAATAGTCAACAATTAAATTAATCTATTTCTTCAATAAAAATGTAACGCTATAAAACATTATACTATTTTAATGTGTAAGAAATTAATACACAATATATATTTATCAATTAATAATTAAAAAGCGTGGCACTATTTAAATTGTTCAACAAAATTGTTAATATTAGTATAAATAATGAGTTATCAACAAATAATACTTTACATAGACGGAGTTGTTTTCAAATTAAGTTTGGAAAGTACATAAGAAAAACATTTTATAACAGTTGTAAAAAAAATATTATGTATATATATACATAAATAATAGTAAAAAATAAATTTAACAATTCAAAATGCAAAATGCAAAAATAAAAATAAAATAAAAAATGTGACTAATAGTTTAAAAAATAAATACCTACACATAATGCGGCCTTAAGGTAAATCATAATATTTAAGCACCATAATGTATTAAAATAATAAATGTACTCCGTTCATAAAATTAATGACAATATTAAAATGTTTAAAGCTCTGCAACAGAATTAGCCAACGGTGCCTTCTTTGATTTCGGTTTCTAAATCAAACCAACCAGTAAAACTGGGAGTGTTTACGTTGACATAATCGCTAATGTTCAACACTATCTGACCCAAAACTGGACTGTGCCACGTTTTCTTGGTCAGGACAGTCACCTCCAGCTGTTTGCTATTCAACTCTGCCACTCCCATGATGTACTCGAATGTTTCTTCGTAAACTGGATTGCAGTTGTCCTTGTACGTCTACACATTGAAAAATACAAGTGCATATTAATTATTAGAACATAACGATGACGTTTTTCATATCCTTCTTGCAACAGACTCTTACTTCGGTTTTTCGTTTGGTGTTACTGTTTTCTTTCTTGGGTAGCACATACAACTTGACATAAGGATCAGGGATGTCTGAAGCTTCTTTGATTGGTAGGTTACTGAAAACAAACAGTGTGCATGCATGACCATTAATAATTATTGTGCTTACACTATTGAAGTAATTGTGATGGTATTCTTACACAACTTTGTGTATAGTAACGTTGAGACGTTGTCTGGCCACACTGAACGTTAATGTAAGTTGTATGCTGCCTAAAACACCTGTGCCGGGAGCTGGTTCTTCTCTATTTGAATAAAAAAAATTAATAAAAAAGATGTCATTCCATAGTACAATAAATACACGTCAACAAGATTTGATTCCTACGGTTCGGATAACAGTTCGGTAGTTTCAGCTTGCTCAACTAGTGGTTCTTGATCACCGCCACCGGCATGTGAACTTCGTGACACCGTTGAATCTCTTTTAATCGACGAAGTTCTACTCATACCATCAGTGGGTGTGTTAACTCCAACAGCCGATGACTGAATCTCAGAGACGTCTGCAGATGTTATAACACTGTTCACAGATTTTGTAGACTGTATAGAGGTCTGTCTTGATAGTGGTTTCGTTACCGTAGGTGTGTCGTCATTAACATCGACCAATACTGGCAGCTTTTTCAAAAACTATACAAAGTTGAAAGTAAGTAATCACATATGCCTGTCAAAATATTAAATCAGTGGCGTACAAAAAATTCAAATGGAGGGTGTTATAACAAAAAACCAAAAGGGGGAAAGTTGAAAACATTTGTGTACGTCGTACGACAGTGTTTTAAAGTAAAGTCTGAATATACAAACATACTTTAAGTTGCAAACAAAACAATAATTTGCTGTCATGCTGTTGGTTTTTGCTGTCAATTATCAGATCATAAGGTTGAGTATCAACTCGCATATTTTGGGCAAGTAGTAGTGCTGACAATTCGTACACATACAACCCCAATTGAGTGTTTGTTTTTTGATCTATAACCTGAATACAAAAAAAAAAATATATATATACAGTCAAAGTATTTTAAGTCAAGGATAAAATACTTTAAATACCTTAAATTCGATGGTGTCTGTTTCAGGGTTGCTCACCAAAAACGTGAATCCTTGTTCATAAACAGGACGTTCAGTGCGTAACTTTCCTACAGTCATTTGGGTAGTTTGACCAACTGTTACTCGTACCAATGGATCTGGTTTGCTTTGGGCCCGAGCGTTCTATAATATAACAGTGTTAATGATAGAATATAATTCTTAGAACTAAATTTAATTAGAGTACACACCGGCAAATTAATCGCTGAGTCTACGTATACCATCACCACAGCTGAACTCAGGTTTGTTATTCGTAGTTCTTGGGTTTCAGTAAGGGCCTAAACAGTACAATATTAGATATACCATGAACGCGATAAGTGATTTCACTTTTCTATTACCCTCTTTAGTGCACTTTGTTCCAAAGTCAAGTCCAACCAAAGCATACGCACATGTACCATGCCGTGTTTAGTGTCCTCTAAGTTGATCCACTATTAACAAAAAATTTTATATACATATATATATAAATAAAAAATAATAATGCACATATTTTTAATTCAAATTATTTACCTTATCAAAATATCCAGTTTTTGCAACATTACCAATTTGTATTGAAGCTCTGCACAATAAAAATAAATAAAAATATAAAAATTATATTAATTATTATTTATTTTATAAGCGTTTCACCTTCCTAGATTCGAATGTTTTTTGCCCACCATTTCGTCTTCATCATAAAGTTTAAGCTTCAACACTTGTCCTCTGGGAGAGAAGGATGCAAACTACACATTGACAGTAATTATATAGTATTAGGAGTGCAAAAATGTATGGATCGATAAAACAATATTCATTACCTCACACCAATAATCCCACTTAGGATTCAGTTCATTGTTTATTGTATGGGTTTTGTATTGTTGTGCACCCAATGTCACAATGACATATGGATCAGATTTACCTTTTCTTATTAAACTCATGTCTTTGGCCACCAAATTTTTAGCTTGAAAGATGTGTACACGTAAGACACCCTAGAACATAAATAATTAATCTTCAAATATAATGACTTAGAACTGGCTAGAAAATGTAGAATTTAAAATTTTCTATCTGATACTAACCTCTGGTTCAGGTAACTTAACTACATGTGCAGCTATTTCATTGCTCAATACAATAGGCAATTTGTTTGGTAAAACCATTAAAGCAGCTACTTGTTGAGAAATAACTTTTCTTAATACATCACTAAAACAATAATTGTGTTGACATTGACATAATGTTTTATATTATGATGTACTGTAATTACTTGAGGCCAGGCATATCCAGTACGTCGGCAACTCCCATCAGATCGTAATCAATGTCGGGTTGATTTAGGAAAAATATCTGCATTCCTCCTACCAGAGGTGAAGTAGTGAGCAATGGTTTCATAACTACTCTCATCATACCACGAATCTGTTTGTTGATATTTCTACTATTATTAAAATTTGTTTTAAAACTTAAAAACTACTCGTCATTACTTGGAAGTCTTTGATACCGCAAGGAATTCCACTAACATAGAACGATATGTCACTATCACTGGCAAAACTATAAAATGCGAACAATACAGAGTAAATTTAAATTATTCCTTGTAAAATATTATGTAATATGTATAATTGTTATTGATGACACGACTCACATAACATCTATATCCAACATTATTTGATCCCGCGACACTTTATCGTACACTTTGACACCTCCGATTTTGGGCGGCTTAAATAAAAGAATTTATTTTAAATAGTACACCTTAAGTGAAACGTCAGCATTTACAACAGACGACATAAACTTTTAGGCGTGTAGGTAGATGAATGTAAAGTAGATGATGGTACTCACTATTGATCCCAGTCGTAACTTGTCAAAAGCAAAATTGTTGATTTTGTATTCACGTAGGCTCTCGGCGACCATTGGTTCCACGGTTTTTTTTATGGTACTCTGAGCATACACGCTAATCAACGGCCACATCTGCTTGATAATCTAAAACGGAAAATACCCTAGCAATTAGCAAACAATGGTGCACTGGCCATCATCTTCCGGCCACGGCTATCGGTGTCAAGGATAGCCGACCTACCTGGTTGAGCCATTCGGCGCGGTGGATGTCTGGGAAGAACACCCAGGACGGTAGCTCAGAAACGTTGGCGGTGATCAGGTCCTTCTCATCAGCAGCCACGGCCAGCTGAGCACGCCGGCGCTTAGTCCGGCCGGCGTCGCGCAAGAGATCGCGGACGACCGACAAGCAGAAAAAGAAAGGCATGAGCACCCAGACGCTGGCGGACGCCACGCGCCAAAAGCCGAGAGCGTAGATGGTGACCACGGGTGCCAGACCCTTGGTCACCCGCCAAACGGTCTGCCGGACGGTCGGCTTGTCGAGCGTGCCGTCCGCGTCCTCCTCCACCAACGCAGACGAATCATTGTCGACGTCGCGTAACCGAAGCTCTTCTCCCTGGCGATCAGCCATTGTTTCGAAACGAAGACGAGAGAAAGGAAAACGTCAAAAGGTCGCGACAACAATACGTGTAGACGTCAGCCGTCAGCTCCAAATGAACGCGAAGTCGCGAACGGATGAATAAATAACTGACAATTTATTGTTAGAGGCAACACTCAAAACAGCGGCGATGACATAATAATTAATAATAATATTATTCGATATTGTCAAAACGGCCGAGGCAACGGAGAGGAGTAGGAGTCGGTCTTCGTCGACAAGATTCGGCGGCGAGAGGTGGGACTGCAACACTGCGGACCGTTTCTAAAATCTAAACGAGTAATATTGTTATTACTTATTATATTTCGGTACGTTTTGTCAATATTTTTATTTAATTTTTTGTAAAAACATGAGACGACGTGAACCGGAAAAACCCTTGCGGTCATGCTCTGTTTATTTCGTTTTCCACTGCCGGCTGGATCCCCAAAAGATTATGTTATCTCACTAACTGATAAAGTAAAAAATTAGCAATCTGATGTTAACAATAACTTAACATCAGCAGCTGTCATCTGTTGATAACGACATTCCCCGGAACACAGAAGCCCAGATCGCAGAGGCACAGAATAGGTTTCATTTTCATAATATCATGCATTCAGTTTTAGTTATTATTACTCTATGCGCCGGACCCAGTGACCCACCCACCCACGATTTAAGAAATTTTATATTATCTTAAATCATGATGTGAACATTCAATATTTGAAAGTATAACGAAAAAATTACACCAACACGTAAATTATTTAATCAACACCTACTTTGTTGTTCAGGCATTAATGCGACGGCCAACGGGCACACTAAATTGAATTAAATATGAACAATAATTTATAAAATAATGATATAATTTATCTTATATAATAATATAGTACCTATTAAAATAATTAACTACCACATCATTCAGAAAACACCTATAAAAATGGATTAATATTTTAACTTGATGATTTTTTTTTTTCAAAAGATTTTGAAAACACCCTTACGCCTATTGCGGGCAATTTGTGAGTAATAATATTATAATTTGCGAATAGGAACTCAATTTTGTATGATTATGTCATCGGAACTATAATAGTACTTCTACAGTTTAGGGTTCTATTACCTATTCTTTTCGTCGTCAGTTTTTCAAGCACTGCCGCCATACGTATTTATAGTTACACTATTTAATATATTATACATTGCGATTATAATATTGTATACGCGGATTATGACAAAACCGACCTTGCCACCTTGGTTTGTTTTGGACGTCTATCCCGAAACGGTTTTAGTGTTTTTTTTCCTCTTTAAACTTTTATAATTGACGCAATACAGTCAAGCCACGATGAGGAGAGGGGGCAGTCTTGGCAAATTTATGGAGATTCACATTCCTAGACTCTATCGATTACTGAGTGCGCAATATTTACGGACAATTGCCGTATTGCCCGTGTTATATAATATAACAGTAATAAATAATAATACCTGTATAATTTACTTATCTGTGAATAATACCATAATATATAGAGAAATAAATATTACGTAGCTGGTACACAGGACCTAAACAATCAGATATCCGCCACTAATAAATATTAATGTGCCTAATCGCCCAGAGCATCTAATAATCGTTTATTTTAGGTTATCTATTATTTAATATTGTTATTTGAATTTTTTGGGATTTTTTTTTAAATGAAATGAAATCCCGGAATAACCCTATAATCTATACTCTATAGTCTATACTCTATAGTATAGATTCTATACTAGATATATGCCCATACACAACATGTCAACATCAAATAAATCTATAACACCAATGAACCAAAATTCGATAGAAAGTATTTTACTATTTTAGTATAATATTCAATATTGTTATACTAAAATATAACTTTTTAATATTTAACAATCTTAAAATCAAAAACAGTTTACAAACGAAGCCAAGTGTATATAGTAATGTCGTAATCAATAAAAAAGTCATAACATTTTTGACATTTAATATTTATTTTAATTTCACAAACTCCTTTTAAAAGTTTAAAGTTAAAGACCCATTTGGCATTTGGACGATCAGATATATGGGGAATTTAGTTGTAACAGGGCAGGGAAAGGAACTTAGAAGTTAGAAGTTTGGACACAAACTTAAATATTATTCAGACATTTCAGAATATTACTATTAGAAAATTAACTATTTAATTTGGTACTACTAAATTATGCTTCTCCCTTTATTTAAAATCATACACTTCATAAATTTCTCAGAATAATGTCAGTTGACAGACGACAGTAATCAGTACATTTCACATGAATAAGCTATAAATAATTTTATAATATTTTCTGAAATAGTATACTTCGCCTTTACGACTTCACCGTTCCAACCACGACTTCAGGTCATGATTCCAACCCTATCCACTTATTATAAATTGATAGTGCTTAAAGCTTATCCATTTCGGGTGATAGTCCGAGGCTATATTTAAAATACACATACTTATCGTATCACATAAACATAAAACATAAACATTAGAACATATTTTTAAAACCGATCTAACAAAAATTTTACTTAGTCAATTTCCTAAACAAACGCTTCATGTCGCATACAATACCTACTTCCATGCGGCCACTCCGGGTCGAAATATTCTATAAAATTAAAAATCATCGAATAAAGTAGCCTAGACAATCGATTACCGATAGTCGATACGTACCTAAATGTGTTATTAATCCGCAGAGGGTGCACGTATAATACTCACAACTTATAAATACCTACTCAAATAGTTAAATATGGCCTTGACAACTATGACGAACTGCTAAGAAACTTAACGGAGGTGTTCATGACAATTACGACAATTTATTAACTGAATTAAGAATGTGATGCTAGTAAATAAAAAGAATTAATTACGACTGGATTCTGTATTTGAACTAAATACAAATAAGTAATAACTGTCAAAAACAAGTCCAAAATGCTGGACGAATGACAACTGACTTACTGACTAAACGTTTAAAACTATAAAGTAAAACTAAAACAGTAAACCATTAAACTTGACTATAGTCTATAATAATAATATGTATTAGACCTTCTCTCATAATCCGATGGTAAAAGTCCGATAAGGTGGAGTGGGTGGTGGCCGGGGAGTAAGGCCGTCTAATTAGATGTTATTGTAATGTTACGATTGTTACGTATAGACAATACACTGCGTGCAATATAAGAACATACTTGGGTAATATTTATATATTTTTTGGCGATCGTACACATTAATTTATTTTATTATACTTTTTGATTTGCATATTATCATAAATCATTGTACGTATTATTAACATAATGTTGATAACACGCCCCCTCTTGAACATTTTTTGTCTGCGGGCGACCTTGCTTTCCGTCATTTGCGGAGTGTGTAGTCTTTTTTCGTAAACAATATTAAACATTAATCGTAGGTTCCATTGTACGAGTGTTCAGTCTTCAGTGTTGGTAACTATTTCCTTATCATTGTCACTTGTGTCTAAAAGGAAAAACCTTTTTTTAGTTTACAGGTAAAACGGCGAAAACCCGGTTTTTGTCCGGGCGGTGAATCCCCCTCTATGGCTAATGGGTATATTCTCACGGGATACCCTGTATATGTATATTGTGCATTTGTGCACATAATAAACATTTGTACAATTAAATCAACAAATAAAAGTCGAGAGGCACCTATGAATAAAATTAATTGTAAAAGGATCGGCAGACGGTGAATTACAATAATATATAGGTACCTCGCGTGGTCGGTCTCAAAATTGTTGTATACATTTTAATTGGATTTAGGTATAAACAAAAGAATACGCTGATACAGAGATAATTCAATAATTGTACATGTTTTGGTTATAATAATATAATCAATGGTTGTTCGTTTATTTTTATACAATGAGCTCTCTTTATTTTGTTCTAACGTTATTACAGTAATACTGAATCAGCTTTTTACAATCGAAACTAAACAAATCATAATAACATGTTGAACGAATGGATTTTTGCGTATCATAAATTAAAGCTTTTATACTCAGCTTATGGCCTATATTAGGTACTTTCATTTATTTATGTAAATATGTTAGAATTTTTTTTTTTGCTATTGAGACCAAACTTCTGCAAACTTAAATACAAGAACGAAGAACAATGCAATTCAATTGTTTTTATGCGAGTATTAAATAAGTCTTCCAAACGTTTTATTCTTAAATTTACCCATACCGGGTGATCAATTTAATGTTTTACACTCATTATTTTAACAACTATTAACGTTTTTGAAAATATTTTTGCTAAGTACATTATTTTAAATTGATAAAAACAAAATTTTTACTATTTTTATGGTTATCATTTTTTAAGTTTTTACTTTTTTAACGGTAACAATATGCCTATTTAATTTCTTATTCTAAAGTAGAATATTTGTTGGAGTACTTTAATACATAAAAATCGAATTTTAAACTAGTATTGTTTAGAAGTTATAAATATTATACATTTAGATGAGCAGAATTTAGTACTGGAGGTACTGGTTTCGCTGAAAAATTTTCGTAAACTACTCCACTCGTCTAAAATTTATATACTTACAACTAAAAATCTACTTATCCAAAATTTGATTTTTATGGATCAAAATACTCTAAACAATTTTTTGCTTCAGAAAATGAATTGAAAAATGTATGTTGTTATTCAATAAAGTAACTCTGTGCCTCTAGTCTCTACCACAAGCCTAGCATAAAGGGGGTATTCATAATTGCACTGTTATTTATACTCTGTATTAATTTATACGCATACATAAATTAAAATAATTAAAAAAAAGTAAAAACTTAAAAACGATAACGATAAAAATAGTAAACAATGTTTCCCATTTTATTTTTTTTTTTCAAAAATGTTGTTTTGTAACTTAAAGTTATTTAAAAATAATGTAGGTATTTAAAAATTTAACTGTTTTCCGAAAGAATGGGCGTCTTTCTGAAAAAACTTTGAATTGTAATTTTCAAATTTTAAACAATAATTTAATAATTACTTAATGTCTCAATATGCTGTATAATTATGGATATGGGCATATTATTCCAATTCAAAATATATTTCCCTACATAGGTAATATGAATTTATAAGACGATAATTATTATTCGTTTAGTGGATAAATTTCTTATTTTTATCATAACTCTTAAGTTATGGCAGTAGTTGGCTCAAGGTTCTTTTTATAATCATAAATTTTAATTTATTTGTTGATTTGTTGTGCCGCCATTCTATTCGTATTTTTGTATTGGCATGCATGTTTATAAGTTTATTTTTTGTTATCTATGCGTCACACTGTCAACATAATAAATTAGGGTCCGATACGTTGTTCAACTATATACCAATTAGTAATTACCATGGCTAAATATTTAGCCATGCTAATTACTAATTAGTGATTTATAGCATAGCACCCAAGATATATTTTTCAGGTGTAGCAAGAAATAATTTTACCCATCCACCCACCCCCTCACTAACTCAAAATTATATTATTTTAAACATTTTCTCATATTTTAATTGATAGTATTAGTAAATATCACGATTATAAAGAATTAAGGTATCATTGTATCAGCCAATATAATCTGATATTAATTATGAACATATTAATTCATGTTAATTATTTTCAAGTTGTAGGTAGCTACCACTGAACTAAATTTAGTAGGTACCGCTACACCTAGTAATAGCCAATAGGGTTGGGGGCCACTATAATTTATAGGCATAGCGTATCCAAGCCTATGCAACTCCCCAACCAATTTACACAAATCAGTAGTGCTCTTATTGTCGGGTCTCGCTCTGGTGGAGCGCTCTAGAAGTAATTTGTAGTTTAATAATTAAATTTATTACTCATTCAAAGGTAAAACATATAGATATTATACATTTTTACTGTTATAAATTTATAATAGTAATTATTATTTAAAATTATAAAATATTAAAACCTAAAAATTAATATTATACTAAATACTTATAAAGGCTATAAAAGTATAAAACATTATAATCTAAAAATTAAAAAATATTATGAAATGATTAAAAATACCAAATATCAACATTTAAAATATCCAGAATCCAGATCTGACAGGTAAATTAATACAAGTATTATTATTATTATTATGTTGTACAAAATTTATGATAATTTTTTTTTTTTAGTTTTCTTTAGATATATCTTGATTTGACTGTCTCATGTATTGTTGCATTACTTATGTGTTACTGTATCGAATAAGAAATAATGTAATCTTTATGTTCTGCACATGGGAAAGTGAATGATTCTGATATAATGATATCATCACAATATCATCAAATACAGTTCTTTCACAATTCATAAAGTTTTTTAAGTCGACAATCATCGAAATAATAATAATATACTTGACCGGTAGATGGCGTCACCAATGCGGGACCCGTCAATAAGAGCTTCATAACCGGGGATTATAGACCTAATAATCTTAGACCGGTCCGTGATCCCGCCTATGTTCCGGGAGACGTTTACATAATAGGGAGACCTTGGATCTAACATCATGTTGGTGCGCGGAAACGTTTCCCTGTTTTTCGGAGGTTTATAGGTTTCACTTCTATATTGTTCTATGATAAGATTATGTATAATCGTGATATTATATTATGTTTATTCGTGACGAAGCCTATGTGTTTGTTGCTGTTGCCTATATAAATTATACATTGCCCCTTAAAAAAATATGCACTCTCTTATCATTAATCATAGTTCTTATTCGTTATACCTACAACCTACTATGAATTTAAAGAGTAAAGACTTAAATCTGTTATGGCAAGTGATTCGAAGTTTGAAGCAATTTATTGTATTATTTGAGTCAATACCATAGTATTTTTTTTTATAGTATATTTCACTACGTATGAGAGATAATTGATTATAACATTGTAAACTTGACAAAATGGTTTGCCAGAGTCTTATGGAGTTGAAAATTGTCGTCCGTTCGATTATAGTTGCGTGCAAAAACCAATTAACAATCGACGAATTATGGAAAAGGACAAATTACGTATTCGGAGGACCCCAACAAGTACAGTTAAAACTGTTCGGTTACGATACTCCTCTTGATTTTCTTAAAAGTGTACCAGATATCGTTCAGTTAGAAGATTCAGAAGATACAAACTCTATTGTTAATTTAGTAAGTTCAAAATTGAGCAGGCATATGGAGCTATTAGTCTCAACCAATATAATAAGGCCACCCAAAAGTAAAATTAGTCACCACAATTTATTGGTACCATACAGAACACAATGTGCATTTATCAGAATCTTTTATGAATTATATCCGGAAGGTTTGTCTATAAGTACTTTTAATTCTGATGTTTTGTGTATTCCAATATTTCAGTCTTACATCGACTGTGTTGATATACTATTGTCAAAATTGGACCATGTATTTATAAGAAGGGGAATGAATATGATATGCCTGCACCCTAAATTAGTCAACAGATTGAAAGAAATAATTGAGACAGATGGTAAATATACAGCTATGGATATATGCAACATTGATCAGTATTCATTAGAAAATAAATATGATGATCAACAAATTTCCAACGGATTAGAATACCCATTGTTCAATATTTTAGAAGAAACAATTAAAACTAATATTGAACAACTGTTAAATGAAATACCTGGTTGGATATCTGATACACAAATGTGTAGTTTATACATTGACAAATTTGGTTCTCCATTTAATCATTATACACGATGGGGTTTTAGTAGAATTAGTCAAATGTTTTCAAAACTACCAGAATTGTGTTGTGTTCATTTCTCAATGGATGAAGTAGAAATAATTTCATCATTAAAACATACTTGTAATGATCATAAGAATTCAAATGTATCAGAAGAAGCAAACAAGTCCAGAAATTGTTCTATTAATGCAAAAGAAAAATTTGATAATGAACCAAATGAAAATGATGGAGTATTAAAAAAATTTTTAAGAAAAGATCCATATTTACAGACACCATTACACGATTGTTTCTTGGATCAAGAAATTCAACATTCCGAATTGAAAATCAATAATTCATTAAATGTCAATGTTTGTGGAGTTTATACAAATATTATACCAACTGTAGTATGTCAAAGACTTGAACAATATCATGAATTCCAGAAGTTATTAACTGATATGAAAAACTTCTATTTTCTACACGAAACAGAGTTATTATTTGATACAACTATAACAATGCTAAAACAAACATATGCATATTGTTTTGATGATTGTTGGTACAGAGGAATTGTTACTGATATCAACTTGAGTATAATAAAAATGATTAATATTGACAATGGTTTGATGCATACTATTTTATTTGAAGACATCAGATTACTACATAAAAAATTTAGCCAATTACCACCACAATCATTAACTTGTAATTTACACGGAATAGATTCTATAGAAGAAGATGAACTTTTGAAAATTATGGATAAAAAATGTACAATATATGTTGTTTCTACCGATCAACAAAATAAATCTGCAATCATCAAAATTAAGTTGATGGATTCTGTATCAGATAAGTACTTAAATGAAGAATGGATAGAAAGCGGTGTTGCCGAACCAGATTCAGATGAAGAGTAAATGAAGATACAATTTTATTGTAGTTTTTTTATTAATTTATAATATACTGAACAAGCAAGATAATGTATATACAATTTTTTATTTGTACAATATTATATTGTTAAATTTTAACTTTACCTATGACTTATTCTTATAGAAATTAAAATATTAAAACTGAAAGTAAAAGAAAAAACCAACAATTGCAACAATTGGTAACTTGATCATAATAATTAGTTTGTTGATTTGACAATTATTTAAAATTTGGATCGATATAATAAATTAATACAATTTTTAAAACACAAGTAGGTAAGTAATAGAATAATAAATAATAGTAGGTAATTGTTCAATTACACGAGATAATGCATTTAAATAATATGTAAGACTGATCGATATAATTATTTAAGCGAATAGCCAATGCTTTTGTGGTTTCATGTATAGTACCTATATGTAAAAGTATAACTATTTACAGAAAATACTGCAACGATAATCATTGCCCTGTACGATAACAAGACGAGTTACCCTAAAATCCATGCTCGGACATGGTAAATATTTCCTGCTTTTGTATACAGAAATAATTCTACGATTATTAAAAAAGTACCTGAACCCGTATGTAATTTGTGTGTAGTATTCTCATAATATATTATTATTTATTATGTTTTGATGTATGAAAGTAAATATTATATTGTCATTGCCAGTGGCGCCGAGCTCTAAAAAAAAGTACTATTGGCAAATTTATTTTTAGAAGGTACCACCCACCAAAAATATTTTTATCTAACTATGATTATGATTACTTTATGATACTATCTACGTTATATGAGCAGCCTTAAGGTCCTAATGACCATTAGGGGCTATGCCCCTAGGATCACCCACCCCATTTAAGCTATTGTTTAGGGATTCAGTGCCACTGGTTATTGCTAAAGACTATGGATAACAAATGTATTGGTGGGAGCAATTAAAACTAAGTATTTGGAGTAAACACTCAAATACTCATGAAAAATAGTATTCCAAATATGGATTCGAATACATCATAAAAATAGTATTCTGAATAAAGTAGGTATTAAGAATACTATAAAACTATTCCAAATACTTTTAAAATAATTTTTTGTTTTAGATATTAATAAAATAATAATTGCTTTTGGGAAATTATAGCCAATGTTTAAATACATAATATATATATTGTTTGTAAATTAAATTATAAATTATAATATACCTACCTATAATGAGTGAACAACTATAAATATTAATAATAATAATAATATCCTAGTTTCTAGATATGACTACTATATATGAGCCAAGAATCTAGTACAGTCATAAGTAAGTCTTGTCATTTAAAGATATTCTGACATTCTGTCGACATTTACAATAGTTGAATGTTTGTTTTTAGAAAAAAAATAGAACAACATTTAATGCATTGTACAATATACTTAGGTAATTATAAATTGACAATTGTTATATATATTGAAAATAAATTCATGGGGGGGAGATCTATCCCTTTCACCCCCCCCCCCCCCCCCGGTTGATTAATAGATGTTATCAATTACAAATTTCTAACACAAATTATTTATTATACTACCCAAGACTGAGTAAGTAGTAACTTTAGAGTCTAGCTCCTAGGGCAAAAAAAACCCATACATTTAATTAGTCGAACACAATATTTAACGTTTGATTAGATAATAAATTTAATTTGTACACATGGTGAAAATGTGCAATATAATTCAACGTTACAAATTATTATTATAATATGCCAATATGGTTATGCGTTTATGCGACTATATTATTCGTATATTATATTGTACGAGTTGAAGTCAATTGAACTACTTATCGTTATGTCCGGAGAGGACAGTATTAAATAATAAAATCGATATTAACACGGAAGCAGTGGCTTATTTATGGGTCTGCAATGGGGATATATCTTTTCCTTTGACTTTTTTTTTCATTATTATTATTTTCCCAAGGTCTATAATTCGTTGTACGAACATTGTCAAAATCCCAATCTTCACACTGTTCGGGCAATGTTATATATATAAACATATAGCGGTCAAACCTATATATTATTATATTTACAGTGTATTGTACCTATCTCGCGATTTATATTATTAATTATTTTCTGAAAACGTACCTATATAAACAATAAACTAAACAACTCGATAAATTGATTAACGTTATACGGTTCTTAAAAATTACGTCCAAATACCATAGGTAAATTATTGTGTCTTTAAAGAAAAAAGTTTTTATAATATATAGATAATATAATATATATGTATACACATTAATATATACCTATTTTGCCAATCTCACTTTAATTCCCCTTATATAAATCAAGAATAAAACATTTTTTTTTTTTTGGAAAATTCATAGCAATTTTTTTTATTGTTTATGTTTTTTGTTTTTGTGATGGATTTAATCTAGTTCACGCCTACATTCTAGAATATTGTGTGAATTGTTTAGTTAAATATTGAGGGTTTTTTATTTACATTGGCCCTATAAAATAGCATATTAAAAAAAAAATTATAATGTATCATGAAGTGGGCGGTCACCCGTTCGCCCAAACTCAACCTTTCCCGTTTCGCCCAGATACCCGTTTCGACCAAAGTCATTTTAGTCGTTTTCAAATTAAGTTGGCAATGATTTTTAAATATATAGTATGTTTAGTATACCATATAATATTATATATTATAATTAACTATTAAAAAAAAAAAAATTACATTAGGTATATTATAACATATTACTATTTTCAATAAAACTTTATTCTAACGCTCCATCAATCATAAGTTGGTAAAATATTGCCAAATATTGGTAATTGCCAAAGTTTTAAAAAATACATACTCAATATTATACATTTATACACATATTATTGTCTACTAAAAACTATTTAAAAAAAAAACATACACAATTTATTATATTATTATTTTTTTTAAAAAATTAAGTCAAGTTATTAAAATCTATTTACGAACACTATTATTTTTTAAAATTTCTACACATGCTTTTTACAAATTCGTACCTAGTAATTTCGCCAGATCTATATAAAAGTATACGTTTTTCGTTGTATCTTTCTTTGGTCTTTGTGTTTTGGAATTTCACACTATTCATTTGAATACGTTCATCTCATTGCTAATATTTTACAACTATATTAGGGAGGTGAATAAAGTTTTTTGAAATAAATATGTTAAATATAAGAATTTTTTTTTTAATATATACATAAGATTATATGGTATAAACTACCCTACTAGATTATTGAAAAGTCAGTTGAAACTTAATTTGAAAACGACTAAAATGACTTTGGTCGAAACGGGTATCTGGGCGAAACGGGAAAGGTTGATTTTGGGCGAAACGGGCCGCGCCCCATAAAGTCATAATTTTATTTAATCAAAAAGGGGCCAATGTTCACATAGGTCCCATAGATTTTGTAATTTTCATGACATTGGACTTCTCATATCTCGCACTAATGATTATTGAGATACGCGATTTTACTACTAGAAAAAGTGTATAAAGTCTTATAAGATTGGCCATGTAACTCATTTTCGCCAAAAAGAGAGATTGGCCCTTCTTGACCCAATCCCCGATATACAGTATGTTTATAAACATTTTTCTTTAAGTTTTATAACAATAATAATATCATAAGAAGCAGCTTAATACATAAATAATTTTCTAAAAACTTTGGTGTATTAATATCGCTGATATTGAACAAATAGTTTTTGATTAGTAAGCATTAAAAGCGTATATATACGAGTGGAGATAAGGTACTACAATATAATATATTATAATAATTATAAATAGGTAGGTGAGACACGCCTAGTCCATTTACTCCGATCGCATATTGCATATACCTAAACTTTAAATTGATTATGAAATAACAAACATAGTTAAGTAGGTCAATAGAAAATCTGAAATACACTGCTTTCTGTGATTAAAATACTTAAATACCAACAAAAACTGTTTTGGACCTATTAGTAAATTTAATTTATTAAAAAATATCTTGATAATTAGTGTATTGCGTACAATATATTCCTGTATATAATATAATGACAATGCAAAATGGCCGAACACGTTCTTATACCTATTAAAATAATTAAAATAAATAATATTGAGAAAAATATGTGTGACAGCATGTCAAATGTTAATGTCAAAATGTCAAATGATTATATTAAAATTGAAAACAGTCTATACATTGCTTTCAGACTTACAATATTATACGCGTCTGCTTAAGCCGGTAGAACGCTGCGAGTCTTAACATTTTTTTTTTTATTACTATTTTTATCACATTTTATAACGTTATACAAGAAACCGGAAGTGAGTTTACTGTTAAAACTTCAAGATAAATAAGCCTTCAAATAATATAATACTTATTTTGCGTGTATTTGTCGAAATGTTTATTACACATTTACACGTGCCCACTGCTCCCAATGCCCATATACCTACTTACTTATAGTTAATAATAATAATATTATATTATACTTACCTATTGGCTATTATATTTATATTGTGTACTTACACTAAACTATACACGTCTACACCTATAACCTATATGAATATTATACAGTACCTACGTCACTTGTTACTCAGTACTTATATTACTACCCGAATAACTTATTATAATTTATCTGTATTTTTGTGAGACATTTTATAGTTTTCGCGTGGAAAACGAAACATAAATAGGTATTTTATGAGCAATCAAAATAGATGCATCTGAAACTAATATATTTCTTTTCAGTGCACAATATTGGCGTACAGGTGTCATCAGTGGCGTATCTACGGGGGGTGGTATGGGGGTCATCCCCCCGGAAAGGTTATTTTAATTTTATTTTTTTATTTAAAACAATTATTTGATAGTTGTATGAAGGTTGAACAGCTTACCCAAAACCTAACCTATGAACGAAAATGAATGGTATTAAATTCAATAATATCATACAACCAGTGGCGTCATTTCGTTTTTCAATAGAGGGGGGCGAAGGTTTTGACCAGCCCGAATGGGTAAAAAAAACACTCACAAACACATATTATCTGCTTAAATTTGTTTATGG